CTGCAACTTGTGTGGATACGCCGACACAGTAGCAATAGAAGTAGAGTAGGCCCTGACACCAACCTCGTCGCCCTGAAGTTTACGAATAGTCCTGACCTCGATCAAGGCCTCAACGAAGGCCTCATTAGGCGGCTTCATCGGCGTAGGCCGCTGACAAGAATAGGGCGTTTCAAGGAAATCGGGGACTGGGGGTAATGTGATATCATGCTCCGAAGTTGTCTGATGAAGCAAACTGGGTACGTGATCAGCTGAGGTTGCTGAAGTATGAGAACGATGTTTGGGTCGACCACGAGGTGAATTGCTCGCTGGTTGCGCTTGTTGGTCTTGTCTGGCTCGCTCTAGTATGCTTGCTGTTGAAGAATGCTGGACCGTAGCTGATGTTGGCGTCGCATCTTTTGGGGAGACCTTCTTGCCTTGGTACAGGAGATAATTTTCAAAGGGTAAAACAGTTCCTTGTTCAAAGGAGTCCTTCAGCCATGCCAGCTTGACAACCTTGATGATATCACCATCATTTGGTGTCGATGGTTCAGCAACTCTTCTCCGCTTTGAGCTAGGAGCATATTCGGTGTCCCTCTCCTGTGTGTCGGTGGTTGTGTACGTTTGCTGAGACTTGTTGTCACGTATCTGCGGGCTTTCGATAGGTACAGTCTCGAATTTGGCCTTCCTCAGTTCGAACTTGGCGCGCTCCGCTCGCGAGATATTGCCTACCACAACCTCAGCCTCGTTGATGTCATAGGTCAACGTTGGGGTCTGGTTCTCGAGCTCATGTAACTCGTTGACGCTGAGATGCGTCGAAAGCAAAAAGATGCGTGGAAAGTCGGGGGCCATGACAAAGCTGCTAGTGTCGCTCTGGTCGAGCTTGACGGGCGATGTAAATGAGAGCTCTGGGTGATTGATGGCGCTTGCTTCAGAATGGTTAGGAACACTTTGCGGAGGGGTATGCTTGACGGCCTGCCGTTTGTCCAGACGTTTTGCTCGTTCATCAAGGCTTTCACGGTACAATCTAAGATCTAGTTTCGACTGCGGCTTTCTATGGCGTGTGCTTGGGCGCTCGCTCGGCGACGATTGCAGACCAGTCTGCTGCTGTTCGCCTGGGATGGTTGTTTGGGCGGTAGAAGTGTCGTTGGATTCTTTGCTGTGGCTAGCTTTGTGGTCCCGACTACTCGTCGGGTCAAGGCGGGAGGAGGAGTTGTCGCTCTCTTGTGAGAAGGTGCCCCTCCCTTGGTGTGATTGGAGATCCCCCTCTCCAGTGATGGTGTGTATCCATTCACATATCCTTTCATGGTCATGGTCATGGCGCGCGACTTGGTCGCCAAAAGGTATCTCGCATAATAAATAAGAACTGGTTTCCGACATTAATCCAAGGAATGGAAACGGAGACGAAATGGGCGTGTAGCGTGCTTCCAACAGTGTAATCAAGAATTGGGAGCATGTCATGCTCACACACCGAAATGAGAAACTTGTTGGGCTGTGCAGATGCTAAAGAACCGTGGCGATCGTTGAAATAAGAAGCAGACGAACCAACAGGTGTCTGAGCAAAAGCAAACAAACGTCATACGCCTGGGGACGGCCTCTCACGGGTAGCAAACAGAAAGTGCAAATGCTTGGTTGGCCCATGGGAGCCTTGTCCTTTGTTGGTTGTCACATCCATTTCCAATCACCCGCAGCAAGGGAAGCTGCCGCTGTAGAGTTTTTCCCCCCTCCCGTAGATGTGTTTCTTATAATTGAATAGAAGCATTTGGAAAATTATCGTGATAATTTGAAAAGAATATTATAATGACCTACACAGAACATAATTGTCGCTCCCTCATTCATATCATCTATAGTAGTTTTTGCGCCTTCTGCCATTCACCATCTCTACCCTAGCCAAGCAATGTACTTGGTGACGTTTCAAGTCGCGCCACCCAGACTGTACCGACGTGGTTAATATATTGCTGTGTGACACCACGGTCCTTAGCATGAGTAGAGTGATTGAGCAGGTAGAGAATTTTCGATATTGGCCCCGGTCATGGTTGGCTTGGGTTATGGAAAACAAGACACCAGGCAGTGCACATATGTCACTTTATCACCCCCTAAACGGAATCAATAAAGTACAGTCAAATGGATGAAATCTTCAAAGAGATATCACCACGAATGGCAGTATTTTAGTCATCTTTCATCACAGTCAGTGCGAATTTACTCGGTATATTTAAGAGTTCGTTAAGCTATTCTAAACCTGCGTGGTTGGCGAATACCTACCTGGGCGACCAACCAAGTCCCACAAGTTAAGTACTACGAGATAGAATCCGTTGGTCCATCTGAACAGTAGCATGTTTTCTGTAGTGTAACTATCTGAACTGTCTACTACCCCCCTCCTCTATTACACAGAAAACTTGAAAGACGTGCGGGTCCAGAGGGGGGTGTCGGTGTGATCTTCCCAATTCGAACGAGAAACTACATCGATAGAGATAGCCAAAACCATCGAGAGGGTCGAGTCTGACAAATGAAAAACTGATCAGCATAGCCTGAAGTCAGTCGGTACGTCGGGACCGTCCTTCACCATTTTGATCTTGATGTCATTGTACAGCAGGCGAGTCGGGCCTGGAAAGGGGACATAACAAGTCTAGACTGGTCATGAGAATAGAGACGGAACGAAGGGTACGTGAAGACGCAGTGGTTTATGGTAGAGCGGAGTACACTGGTCACTGGTGGTGAAGGGGCCTGGCGCAGGCTCACCAGGCACAAGGTCAGATGAGTTGAAGTCAGAATCTATCGCACCATGAATTGTGTGCGGATGTCGCGTATTAGAGGCACTGGCCGTGCCAAGACTTCGGAACTGGACTCTAGACTCCGCTCAAAACATCAACTAAGGGGGTGGGGAGACGAAGGAGGAGAAGACAATGCGAGAAGACGTGGGGGCTCTGATGGATGTCTAGGAGTGCCCTCCCTCCGGAGTGAGGAGGAAGAAGTGAACTAACTTAGGGCTGAAGACATCGACAGTAGTAAGCTACGGGAATAGGCATCGCAATAGAAGAAGGATTCTCCAAAGGAAGATGCAATTGCGGTATGTTTGTTCTACCTACTCTGGCACACATGGAGCAAACCTGGAGGGAAGCACCTTAGGCTGTCAAACGATCCGGGTCGCCATAGGTAGCCATCTTTCGCTCGTTCATGTCAACATCAACGTCTCTCTCAGGAGTGGCTTCCTGATGGGCGGTGCCGGAGTCATCCAACGACGGTGTGTCACCAGCGCCAGCTGGGCGAGGGACTTCTGGTACTGCAGAATCAGATTCGTCGCTACTTGAGGACTCGACATCGCCGGCGGGCGAACCGTCAACGGAAAGGGCCTTAGACATGCCATCAAGGGAATCTTAATTGCCATAGGAGATTGATGGTGGATCGTAGTTGGCAGGAGGCGTAGTTTGGTGTCCTTGTTGGGCGTCCTTGCACGCTGTTTTCCGAAACTGTCCCTGAGATACTGTTGGCTCTGGGTAATCTGACTGTGAGTTGAGAGGCCGCTTATTCCCCCTGGTCTTGACGATTCTTTGAGGGTGATAGTGGCTTTCCTTCTCATTCCGGCTGGTCTCTTGTCCTAGTCCCTTCACATACCCCCCACCCCCCTAAGTCACGAGGCATCGGGTAAATAAACGAGTTAGAAGATGAGATTCTGCGATAAGGTAATAAGAAGCCTACGAGAAGAGTATTGTGAGAAGAAAAGAATAGAAGAATTGCAAGATGTAGGCAGAAAGTGAGTTTGGCAACCGTCGCCAACTGACAGACAACAGCAGTGATTGTCAAGTTCTTGGCAATGAAACTATGCTAAGTTTGCTTAATATTATCAAGAAGCAGTGAGAGAAGAAGGGAAAAGCAAATAACGCTTCTATACCTATATAATCTACACACTCCCTCCTTCTCCTGGCATATCTTCCCCAAGTATAACTTCGCTACATTTCCTCTTATTATACTTCCTCTATATTTCCTTGTTGTGTAACTCCTCTTAGTACTAGCACAGAAGGTAGACGGCGCAGGCTGGTGATATGCGCCCTTGAGGGCGACACAGCAGCCAGCAGCAAAAGGGCCCTCTTGAGCTTGCCCACCTATTCAACCCAGAGGGCAGCAACACTGGAGCACTCTGGAACTCCAGGTGACACAGGTTTATCAGCATGTATCACAATTTTCAACTCAAATCATCATTGCTAATCTGGATAGAGAGGAGCTGGTTGTTGTTGTTGTCGTTGGAGAACTATTACCCTTGGTTCTGCGATCTAAAGCCATACAGTTTTGCCAATACAGCTCCTGAGACAGGATTCATCGTGAAACAACTGAATCACACGAGATGTTAACCTCCCTGCACTACAAGGAGGGAGTGCTATACCGCAAGTCTCGGCTTACGATGAACGTCGAGGATAGAGTCTTCTACTACAGTGAGTGGACGAAAGGCACTTGTTATATATACCCAGGAAGAGCAGCGAGAGACAACTTTTCATGACGGCATCTGTACACCAAGGCATATATATATATATTGAAGACCACAAGGAATGTTTTCTGCACACCAGTGAATTACTCACTCTGAAGGATGCACGTCAGTCCTCGGGAGATGTTTCTCTCACTCACTCACCAAGGGTTTGCGTTAGGGGATAAGTGAGGAGAGACAGGCTACCTTGAACAGGCGTATGGTGCTGCCTTGGGGAGGATGAACTGGGAGGAATTGCAAGGAACCAATGTGAGAGAGCACTTGAAGATGTTGTAGGGAATGATCGAGGGCACCGGAGGATTCGACATGTTAAGATGACGTTCTGGCGGTTGGATAGGAACACAACACAACATCCATCTTACTCTAAATTGTAAGAGAACTACCATAATATAACGATAAACCGCGAAGAGCCATTGATGTTAGGGTTGTAAAGAGCCATTGGCTATCCCTCTTTGAAAGCACGTTATCGTGAATAGGCAGACTTTACGATATACTGTGAACAGAATGCTCTGAAACCCCGGTCGTACGGGTCAGTAGTCTCGTCTTGTCAAGGTGGAAGGAGGAGTTGTCACTCCTTGATTCATATTGTCTATAGTAGTCCTTGCGCCTTCTGCCGTGTCCCTGTGCAATCATATCAACACAGTACCATGTCCCTACCCTCGCGGGCCTTTTTAATACCAATCTGGTTGGTTCTCTCCCCTTTCGATGGATCTCTTCTTGCCAGTCCTTCAGGTCCATCCATACCCCCTGAACAAATCATTATTAAAACATCAAGCCAGCCTGCCCACGGTGAGCATTTGTAGCCTCTGGAAAGGAGGAAAACTCATTGACGTATGCAAATCTGCGCCTTTTATACATCCTCGAACTCAATCTCTTCTTCACTGTCCTCATCTTCCTCTTCTTCCTTCTTGATCACTGGCTCCGGTTCGACCTTGACTCGTTTCGCTTGTCGCTCATCCGAGTTGTCACCGTCTGTGGTAGCCTCCCGCTTAATTGCTGGTGTGACGGGAGTGTCCCGGCTGGACACATTGCCTGTTGGGGGCACATCTTCAAACTCATCTTCGTCCTCGTCTTCTTCCTCAGATCCGAATTCGTCCTCTTCCCGAGCCCGCTCCGCAGCCTGTTCTGCCTTGAGCTTCTCAAAGATATCATCAATTTGAGTGGTGGCCTTGGTGTTAGGCGCAGTAGCAAGTGATGAGTTTGCAGCGGCTTCCTTCTTGATAGTTGTGGTAGTGCCTGGTGTACCAGTTGCCGAGAATGACTCTCCGGTGACTGTACTGTTGGACATCCAAGATGGCAGCGCGTTTTGTTTGGCAATCTTTTCTTTGCGCGCTTGCTCCTCCGCCTTTTCAGCATCTGTTGGCCCATCAGAAGTCGAGATATTAACTGCGATAGACTGAGGCCCAGTATTTGTCAAGCCCTTGACCGCCATGGGTCGGTTTGCGCCTGCGTCCGCCGCTACGGTTTGGGCACGCTGATGTGTCGCATCTCGCTTCACGGGGCGAGCGTTGGCAAAGGCACGATCAAAGTCGCATTCGGGGATGTGGACAGCGTCGATCTTGGGCAGGAGCTCGCTGATGAACTTGAACTGGCTGTTGAGGCGAGTCGACTGCTCGTGACCGGTCGAAGTTCGGTCTGCTTCAAACGTGAGCGTATGGTGGCAGCGATGGCACAGGAAACCATCCGGACCACTGTTGTCCAAGACCTCCATCATTGTCCACTCCGCTTTGCAGAATGAGCAAAAGAATTCCTTCTTCTCGCTGGCCACTTGCGTGGTGCCCTGCACCTCCTTGTCGATTGTGTAGACGCGCCATTTGATCGCGTCAATGGTATTTCGATAATTGATGTAGTACCAAGTTCGATTGCTCGGTCTCGGGTTTCCTTCTCGTAGTTCTGATCGCGTGTGCCTGCACCAAGAGTCAGCGGCTTTGTTTCCCTTCAAGACTGGGGAGCGCATACACAGTCAAGAATCTATCTTCACGCAGCTTGCCGCAGATCTTGTGGAGGTCCTTTGTATTGATGGCCATCAGGTAGGCCAGGTCATCATCTCTTAGCCTGCCACCACACCACATTAGCAGGAGCCTCACACTTTTCCAGATCGAGAGACATACGCCTCATGAAGGATAAGCGCATCGATGACAAGTATGTCGCGAGTTTGGTAGAAAGCCCGCATCACGGACTTGATAAGAGTGACTGCGAGATCCATGATGTCGGTCGCGAATCGCAGGATGGTCGCCACTGGAAGGATTTGCGCAGACGAAGAATAGGATGGTATCGGGGATTTCAATCGAATCGATAGTGCGATGGCAGCTTTTCGAGAGGATGAGATAGCAGAAGGGGATTGCGCGGGTCCCGATCAGGTTGTTGCAGCTCGTCGCGACAAGAGCATGGGAATGCGATAGAGGTTGCCGTCTCGAACAAAGCGTGGCCCAACAACCATTTTATGAGCGATCGAACATGGCGGGGGAGGAGGCCTAGAATATGCAGCCGATTGAAAGACTTTCCAAGCTTCTCGCGGGGGCGCAAAGAGATCCTAGTACGCCTTTGAATTCTTGTTGGAGGAGAGTTTGAGTATCGAATGTCGGGTTGGAGGAGTTTCTTTTGTCTCGAGACAGGCTGCCAGCTGCCTGGGGTCTGGTGTGGCTTGGTTTGCATGAGACCCACCCATCCTGCATGAGCCTAGCCTCATCTCAGCCCCAACTCTCAGCCTTATGCAGCTTCACCAGCATCGATGGTATGAAGTGTGATTAAGTAGGTAGGTAGCGAACAAATGGCGCCTAATCAGTGTTCAATCCACCAAGCGCTGCATGATTTACGTATTCGGTGTAATTTTACATGAATTCCCAGCGCAGTAACAACTCATAAACTCATATGTGACACAGCGCGTGCAGAGCTCGCAAGGCTCAATACTCAAAGTTGCAGCAAAAACTCTCGAGTCCACCCATGCTCCATGAAAGAAAAGATTCAGAATTTTAGTTCTCATCATGCGTAATTTCTCAACTGTATACAAAGTCAGCAAGCGAGCATGGAACCAAGTGGGTTGGGAGTAACTTACATCTAGAGTAAGGGTGCGTGAACTATTCACCTCCTGATCACGGTAGACACCCACAAGACTGTCACTGTCTTGGAAGAGACCAGCCTTGAGACTAATGACAATGAACTGCATTCCAGGTCCTGAATGATCCTGAATGTACTTCTTGATCTTGTCAACATTGGCGTTATCCAAGGCGGCATCCACCTCGTCAAGTACGAAGAACGGACTTGGCTGGTAGCTGTGGATAGCGAAGAGAAGCGCGAGTGCAGCCATCGTCTTCTCACCTCCCGACAAGTGCTCCATGTCTCGGAAGCGCTTCAGCGGTGGCATCGCATGATACTTGATGCCCGACAGGTATGGCATATCCGTATCCTCTTCAATGTCCAGGTACGCCTGACCACCAAGGGGGTATGCCTCGGATCGGGTAAGATCCTTGTAGACGTGCGATATTTGCTCCTGGATGTGGGTAAAGGCCTTGTTGAAGAGTTCAAACCTCTTTTGCTTGACTTCGTTGAAGGCCTCCTTGGCCTCGTGTGCTGCCGTTTTGGAGTCCTCATACTCTTGTTCTGTGAGTTTGAGTCTGGTTTCCACGTCCTCCAATCTCTGCATTGCTCGCATGTTGGGATTCAGCTTCTCCAGCTCAGAGGTCAGGTTGGCAATCTTGTCCGACAGGTTCTCCTCAACGCTGGCATCGTCCGACTGCGTGGGATTAGTAAAATCGTCCAAACGAAACCCAGAGGGTCACTCACGGCTTTAAGCTCTTCGTCGAGGCTGTCAAAATCGATTGCAATTCCGTATGTCGCCATTGCCATGTCCATCATGTCCTCGTCATCCTCATCCAGATCCATCGCATCTGGATCTTGACGAAGGAGATCGTCTTCGGTCGGCAGATCATCCAAGGTACCTTCCTCGAGGGGTATGCGAATTTGTTCCAGGCGACATTTTCTGAGCAGTGCTGACTTGCTGGCACTGTTCTTTTGCAGGGTCGTTTCGAGTGCACTGATTTCCTTCAGGTTTTCATCAATGTCCTTGCTGCGTTTTTGTACCTCAACCTTGGCCTCAGACACCTTCTGGTTCTTCTCAGCAAGCTCGGCCTTGTTCTCCTCAAGTGTCTCCTGGAGAGCTTCCAACTCTTCCTGTTCATCTTGCATCGCGTTCTGAATCTCGTCCTTCTCCTTGACATATGTTTTGGCATCGTTACGGACGCGTCGAATGACCCCTTGCAGTCTGTTGATCCGGGCAATTGTGTCGTTGTTGCGGGACTGTTCCCAAGTCAATAGCCTCGACAGTTTCTGCTTCTGGACCTCGAATTGGTTGCGCTTTTCCGAAACCTCCTGCTCGAGCTTGCCTTGGGAAGCGTCGTAAGCCCGGATATCACTATAGCCGAGTCGCGCACAAAAGTCCGCGAACACCTGGTCCTCAACCTGTGCGATAGCATCTCGGAACTCCTGGCATGTCCTCTGGGTATTCTCCAGCTGTGCCGCCTGCTCCTGGTATTTGGGCTCCAGCTCCCTAAGCTGCCTCTTCTGGTTGTCCAACTCACGCTTCTTGCTTGCATGGTTCTTGTTGAAAGCAGCCAGCTCGTCCTTGACAGCTGCTAGGCGCCTCTCCAATCCAGCCAGATCGATTTGCAGCGATTCTTCTTGTGACCCACGTCTGTCAGCCTTTGGCAACCGCTCAATCTCATCTTTGAGCTTGGAGGCCATCCGTTGAAGGTTCTGAACATCAGCTTCCTCAAAGCGCCTCTTGTTCTTTGACTCAGGCCCACGACCACCTGTCATAAGACCTGCTTTGTGGATGATGTAACCCTCGAGCGTAACAGCCTTGACAGGAATCTTCTTGTCGTAGCAGATGTGCTTGGCGATGTCGAGGGTATCGCACACGATAGAGCTGCCGCAAGCATAGGACACGGCTCGCTCAACAACTGAATCGAATTCGACAGTGTCAATAGTCAACCGGGCTCCAGAGAATCCCTTGACTGCAGTGTTCACGGCATTGACCTTGATGTTGTCCAGGGGAATAAAGGTCATTGGCGGGAACCTCTGCTCCTTGAGGTACTGAACACACTCGACACCGATCTTCTCTGTGTCGACCACAACCGAATCAAAGTCTCTTCCAAGGGCCACAGAAATAGCTTCGTCAAACTTCTTCTGCTTCGGCTTGACGAGTTGACCGATGCGGCCATGGACACCAGGGAACATGCGCTTCAGAGCAGACACCATCTCCTTCATCCGGGTGTCTTTGGCGCTCTGCCGCCTGCCATCATCAGCCTCCCTGAGCTTCCGGGCCACGTCCTCAAGCTTCTCCTCGAGCTCGGTTCGTTTTTGGCTGGTTCTGACACGCTCTGACTGAAGTTGGTTGAACTCCTTCTTCTTAGTATCAATTTCCTGTGAGAGTTCCTTGGAGGCAGTCTGTGCTGCAGTTCTCCTCTCGTCGATGTTTGTGAGCTCCGCTTCGATCTTCTCGATGCTTGCTGCAATACTGTCGACTTTTCCCTTGAGGTTGTTGACAGTGACCTCGTCTGCCTTTCGCTGCCGCTCGAGATTCTCAAGCTTGGCTTGATTTGGACCGGAGCGAGACATGACCTGGGCGCGAAGAGTGTTGTACTCCCTTCGGTCCTCGTCGCTGACCTCTCGCCCTTGCTTCTTCATCTGCTCCTTATAGTCGTTCTCGAAGACTTCTCGGGCTTTCTCCACATTCTCAATATCCTTCTGGATCTTAAGCACGATCTCTGCCTGCTGGTCGCGCTCTTTTGTGACCTTGGCAATTTGGGCCTGTAGGCCCTCAACTTGTTGTGTTGATTCATGAATCTTTTCCTCGATCGGGACGAGGCTGCTCTCCTTGTCCTCAATACTTCTCTGCTTGGCCCGGATATCCTTGTCGATGCGAGCAACATGACGACTCGCCGAGGCCTGCTCCTTCCGGGCAGCTTCCAGGCGCTTCTCAAAAGATTCGACGTTGCGGCGTAGCTCCTTGAGTTCTTGTTGATGGTCTTGTATGGCGCTAAATGAATCGTCAATAGCCTTCTGGAAATGATACAGCTTCCATAGGCTGTGCGTGACGATGGCCGCATCACGATCGTCGGTTTTCTTCTGGAAGTTGTCGGCTTCTTTTTTCTGCTCGCGGAATTGTTTGATTTCGGAATTAATGCCACGTCGCTTGTGAAGTTGGTAGTTTTGGTTCTCAGCAGCCTGCTCCGCCTCAGCTTGTGTCTTCTCGTAGTCTGTCTTGTACTCCAGACTGCCCGAGATCTGCTCAATCAGACGCGTGAGGTCCTGGGGAGACTGTGAAGCAATCGCCTCAACATCTCCTTGGAAGACGAGGAAGTTCCGGGCTTTGATGAGGATGTTTTCGGACTCGAGAGCTTCGTTGTACTGCTGAGCGGTGACGACGCGGTCGTTGATGCGGTATTCGCTGGCGCCCTGACTGGTGATTGAGCGCTTCCACCTTTGCTCCTCGCCAGCATCGTCCTCGTACACGGCCATGACCCAAGCGGTCTTGGGATCACCTCGGGAAGCCTTGTCGTCTCCGTCGGCATGACCGTTTGCGTCACCATTGGTCTGAGCAGAACCATCGTCGTTGATCTTGGCGGTTTTCAGGACCCGCCCTCGGTAGACGAGATCTTTAAGGTGGGCGGAGCGCAGGTGGGAAGATTTGATACCCAGGACGAAGGAGATGGCGTCCATACTAGCGAGATTCAGCAAAGCGGTCGGCGCGAGGACGAAGCTTGCGACTTACGAGTTAGATTTTCCAGATCCATTGGGCCCGATGATAGAAGTGAAGTATGAATCGCCAAATAGAAGGGTATGGTGGCCCTTGTAGGACTTGAAGTCTGTCGTGCGCAAGTCAGCTCTGGGGTCCTTCGTCGCTTGATCAACCTGCAGCAAGAGGGAATAACGCACTGAACAACTCGAGACGAATGAGCTTGCCCATGGTTGCGTAGGTGGGCAGCAAGCCCGGGTATCGGTGGTCGAGGGGAGGTTTGCGGAAGTGTGAGAAGAGAGTGAGGTTGGTTTAGAGGGGTATCACGGGTCGCGAAGCGAATGCGACGGAGGAAGAGAGCGCGTCAAGTGGCCGGGGACCCAGTGCGCCGGCGAGTCGCGCAAAGAAAGAGCAGGAAGGAAGCGCGTTAAGACTACTCTCGGAGACCGAATAATGCTATGCCGCAAAGTCTTCCAATTCAGTGTGACGAGCACGCATAGTCGACGGCGAGAATGGGTGGGTAAAGATGAATGTCGTTTGCCGTATTGCGACGCTTGAAAATGATGGATAACGCGTCGCGCGACGACCAAGGCTGGCTGGTTGGTACCTGAGGCGGGAGCCTCTTTGGGGCTTCTCTCAGTGCGACGAGCTTGGGGCATGGCCCGTGCCTGGGTGCCGCCAATTCCATCCAGTAAAAACCGACGGATAAGGCACTACCGATAAGCAGTACGTACCGCTCAAGCATGACAGCCCAGGTCCACCTCAGTTTGGGCGAGCAACGGTGGCTTGCATCATTCCGCAGTCTGGCAAGAAAGCAAGACGGAACCTACCAAAGGGCAGAATAAGGAGAACGATTGCGTGCGTACTGTGCCTTTCAATAAACAGATCAATCACCAGTTGTCTACAAGGGAGCTAGAGCGAAGTTCAAACCCAAGCAACCAGTCAGAAGTCAACGACTGTACACGTACATCCCAACTTGGTAAATCGACCAATAATAGAACGGGTCTGGCCTAGTCAAGGGTTCACATGATGGGTTTGGGTATCGTGATACTCACAGTGGATTTGGTTTTGAAACACATATGGAACTAGAGTGCATCTGACTCCAAGGCATGAGTGACATGCAGTTGCAGGCGAGGTGACGAAGCAGAACCTGGATTCAAAGCCCGAAGCTTTGCTTGGTGGCCTCAAGTAGGTATGATGCAAGCGATTCCAGCCTGGACGATGACAGCAAAGTTGTGCCCTGAAACGGTCCTTGATCGCCAGTCGATGGAAAGATCCAAGCTGATATCCAGGTTGTGGCGCAAATGCATGTGCCAGTGCACTGACGAAGTCAGAGGCGTCTGAAGCTGGAGCCACGAAGTGACTTTAATTCGGAGTTTCAGCACAAGAAATATTCGTCAAGAAGTAGACTAGTTAATATAAGATATACTGTTCTACAAATATTAATACCAGACAAGTGTTTCGTGCAAAAATCTGGACCAGAATGAACTGCGGATCAACCAAGTACTCCATACCTACCTAGGTACCCAGCTCTTCCGGCAGTGTGTGCCACACTGACCCCAGCAAGCTTTCAGCCCGTCGCTTTCATCATAGGCAGCCCGGGTCTGGGGTCCAGCTTCGAGGTGAGAGGTGTTGGGGACTTGAACATCCAGGCAATCCCACGTGGATGTTCCGTCACCGCTGGTGCTCCCCTTCACTTTCTGTCCCTTTGTTCTTTCCTTTCTTTTTTTTCTCACTTTTATCTTTTTCGTCTGTCTTATTCATCCTCTCCATTCCTAGTCACCGCTTCTTCAGGGTCTCGCAGAGCGCAGAGCACAAATGACTTTCTAGCCGCCAGGTCCCTCCCTCCCTTGTCTTTGGAGGTCGTGCAGCTGGCCTTGTATAAATACTTGGACTCGCGCTGCGCTCCCTTACACCGTCCTTCCCCGTCCGTGCTAGAGCAGCCCCTGCATCCTTCGCCTTGTGAGTATTTCTCCTCGTTCCTGGCAACGTTGATTCTGCCTTTCTGCTGGTTACTTATGATTGCTAACGTTCGTTCCAATAGCTAGGAGCTTAGCTACCACCTACACGGCAACCCTCGACGCGCGGATCAAGCACGACGTCAACCAAGAACGCCATCATGGATGACGATACCAAGGCACCTTCGGGTGCCTCCCACGGCCTCAAATCCGACAACATCTCTACTGATAGCGATCCCGTCCTTACCCCCGGACCCGAAGCTCCTGCCTCTCCCAACTCCTTACCCGCCGACTCTTCCCTACTTGATACACCAATGCTAGGTGCCACGACACCCAGAAGCTCGCTTCACTCGAGAAATCCATCCTTCTCTGGCAGCAGCTCTAACCATGAAGACTGGGATGCTCTGCCACCTCTCGATCGATTGACAGTCCTCGATCTACTCGACAACTTCGCGCTGCCCCAGCAGCTTGAGAAGCTGCAAAAGGGCATCTCTGCTCAGACGGACAAAGTTAGGCGATCGAGAGAGGCCATCAAGTCCAAGACAGCGCTCGCTCGTGATCGCATGGTTGAGGAATGGCGGCGCCGCGTTCCTTCGGCTGATGAGCAGCTCGATCGATACCGCAAGCAGATGCAACGCCGTGTCGACAAGCTAGGAAAGCGTTGGAACGACACAAAGGTTATCAGCGCTCGGGAAAAGGTGTCCTTCATCTTTGGCGTCATGAACATATTCGTCAGTGGATACCTCATCGGCGGATTCCCAGAGTACTTCCACCTGTGGTACACGGTGCAACTATTGTACTTTATGCCTATCCGCTACTTCACCTATCATCGCCGCGGCTACCACTACTTCCTAGCCGATCTATGCTACTTCGTCAACTTTCTGCTCTTCCTCTCCATTTGGGTCTTCCCTGGTTCGAAGCGACTATTCCTTGCCTCTTACTGCCTCGCGTTTGGAAACAATGCGGTTGCTATCATCATGTGGCGCAACTCACTCGTCTTTCACAGCTTCGACAAGGTCACCTCGCTCTTCATCCACATCATGCCTTGTGCAACTTTACATTGCATCGTCCACCTGCTGTCTCCGGAAATGCAGAGGGAACGATTTCCGGCGATCTGGACCGTCAAAACCTCGCCTCCAGGATCACCCACGGCATATGCCAACGTGGTCTCCATGCTGGCTTGGAGCACGATTCCGTATACTATCTGGCAGCTTTCGTACTACTTCTTCATTACGGTCCGTCGGAAGGAGAAGATTGCTGCTGGCCGACCCACTTCGTTCACTTGGTTGCGAAAGTCGTACTCCAAGACATGGATCGGGAAGTTGGTTTTGGGACGACCTGAGCGCATGCAGGAAGCTTGTTTCATGATGATTCAGTACTCTTACGCCGTTCTCACCATGCTTCCTTGCCCTCTTTGGTTCTTGAGCCGCTGGGCCTCCACCGCCTTCCTCCTCGCTGTCTTTACATGGAGTATCTACAACGGTGCCACATACTACATTGACGTATTTGGTGTTCGTTTCCAGAAGGAACTGGAGGCTATGAAGGCGGAGGTGATTCAATGGCAGAACTCGCCAGAACACCTGCCACAGTCACCTCCTTTGGGGCCTCGGCCGGAAGGATCCTCTGCTCCTGGCCAGATTCACAAAGGAGCGACTGGTTCCGCGTCTACCATCCAGATCCCATTGACGAACGAAGTAGCTCGTGAGAAGGACATGTTGGGCGACACCTCCCTACCCACAGATGAAGCCGCTCGGCCAGTGAGCGTGGATAAAATCCCTCTTCTCGATGAGACAAGGGGCTCTACCAGTACTGGAGTTGATGGGGAGCGTAACGACACGACTCGGGAGAGGAAGTCGGGTGAGACACCCGCCGCTTGATGTTGAACTTTTGCTAGACGACTACGCGGTCGATGTTCTGGGCTTTGTTACGTTCTTGTTATTATGATGATTCCTGCAATCTCACCCTTGGCATGATGTTTGGGCGCTTATTATGATTGATTGGCTATTTGTTACTTTATTTGGCTGGAGGTGTATGGAGCGTTTCAAGTCTTGCTGGTTATTTAGTTGATGAGAACCTACCGTTCATTACAACCAATATGCACGGAGAATACCCCTTGTTTTGCAGACACCTCAGAGATCAGACACGGGTAGTTTACAAGTTGTGATGTGATCTAGAACTACGTCGTGTTATGACCATCACGCTCTGCCCCAAGACCTTTGATTAGCTAACTCCTCTTCAAGACTCATATGTCGAATCTGTTTGTACATCACGGCATGTATAGACAAAGATGACGCTTTAACTTCAAGGAAGGGTATCAACCCGTCCATTATATTCATGTGGCATCTTTGTGCCCTAGCTAAACAGCCCCCTTGCGCTATGCAGGCCAAATGACAAACAACAAAAGTGCAGATAAAAGCAATTGCTGTAACTTCAGAGCTTGTTTCGCTTGCTTGCTTTGCTCTGCCTTTGCCAGCCAGACCAGCAATGCGCCCAAGATCATCATCCCTCATCAAACCCGTCCATTCATTCAAGGGGGCATATCCGCCTGCCTGCCCCTTCCAATGTCCCAAAATGTTCCCAAGCAAAGCAACCCGACCAACACCACCACCGTGAAGCCCTCCGTTAAGCCAGAGGAGAGCCAAAGTCCAGATGCGACGCCGTTTAATGCAGATGATGCGATATCCCTCAGGGTATTCTTCCATAATGCGTGAGATGCGACTTTTGAGAACCACTTGCTCTCACGCCCAAACTTTTTGTAGATGGACGGCATGTAATAAATCGGCCGTTCAAGTGTACAGGTGACACGTCATCAACATGAAGGATCCAAGCTGCCAGAAAATCCGATGGTGTGGCAACCAAGTGAAAACATGTACTGCCTCCAAATACAGAAGCTCATCGAATAACAGCCCAGTCAGCAAGTCGACCTCCGTTGTCACCATCCTCTCGAGTTCCTGGCCGCCGACCAAATGTCGACCAGAATCTCAAAGTCTCGTCTCCAGCTCCAGTCACAATCGTTCGGCCATCCGGGCTCATAGCCAGGTACAGCACTCGATAGGTGTGTCCTGTCAGACTGGCCACCTGGGTCATGGAAGGATACTTCCAGACAACGATCTGGTTCTGGCTGTAGCCGTGAGTCGAGACAATTTCGTTGGAGTTCTTTGACCAAGCAATATTGCAGACCTGGCTGCCTGTGTCAATCTCGTTGATGACAGATCCCTTGACGGTGTCGTGAAAGATGATGCGGCGATCAGCAGTACCACCTCCAGACGCGAGCAAGCCGCGCTGGTGAGGAGACCATGAGATAGCCTTGACGGCTGCGGTATGGTCCGAAAACTTCCAAAGCGGTGTTTCTGAGAGCTTATCCCAGACCATGAGCTTGTTGTCGTTACCGCCACTCGCCAGCTGCCCGTCCTCACAATTCCACTTGAGGCCACAAACTTCTTGCTTATGACCAACAAGTTTCCTCAGCCACTGGTCGGGAGCTCGCACGTCGCGGTGATAGATGAGTCGATCGCGCGATCCAGAGGTAAGAATGTGGGTGTTCCAAGCCAAGGATCCCACACGCGCTGTGTGGCCAGTCATTGTTCGTAGTCTTCGTGCCTTTTCCGCATCCCAGATCTGCACTAGACCCTTGCCAGTTCCTATAGCAAGGTGTGTGCCCTTTTGTATCCATGACACGCTTGTCACGGTGTCGTCCTCCAACGTGCAAAGTTTGTTTACCTTACTGGTTTGCGCGTTCCACATGTAAACACTGGAACCCAGGCCGACACCAAGAATGTTTGCACTCCCCCAATCCACCAAGTTCAAATAGAAATCATCGGCCAGTTCGGGGGCGTCAAGGACCTTATAGGGCACTTTGCTAACAGCCCTTGGCTGGCGCCTGGGGCTGAGCAGCATCTGTTGGCTACCAAATCGTACTGGCGATAGGCTGTATATCTCAGCTCGAGTATCCAAATTGGGGCCGTGGCGGCTTTGTGGTGTCTTCGAGGGAGTCGGATGTCCAGCAACGTTGCTGTGCTGGCGTGGTGACATGTATGAGAAGAGATTCTTATGAGGTGTTGACGGCGTTAATGAAGATGGCAATGAAGGCGCGGTGGCATTAGTGGGAGGTGTGTGAGCCCGAGTGCCATCGTTGGCGGGGATGTGAGAGGTTGTGGGGAGAGCTTGGTTCGGGGAGAGAGTTGGGGTTGCTGCTTGGGGTACGGAGTTCTCAAAGAGCTCGGCACGAAGCAGGTGTGAGAAGGTACGGTTTGCCTCCTCAGCTATAATAGTTGTCAGTATATCAAGCACTTACGAAGCTATAGGAGGGGTTCATACTCTTTTGGAAGTGAAGTTCACCGTGAGGAGTACGCTTCTTTTGTTTCGAAGGGGTAGCAGGTGATCCATCCTCATGAAGTAGACTGAAGCTAGCTTGCAGGTCTTGGCCGGAACGAGTCGGGATGAATCTACAGAAGGGTAAGCAAGGGACGACGTTGATGCATTGCATGGTTGACCAACCGATCACCGTTTATCCGCTGCCGCTTACGATGAGGACTAGCCCCCGGTGTGCTCTCTCGCTGTGGTCGTTGGAACTCGCGTAACAAAGCGTTGTCGACGGCGTCGACATCAAACGGGCTCGCACGGGTAGCGTCGCTTTTCCTTGCGTTGCTGCGAAGAGAACGATTGGATCCATTGTCGAGGGTCTGTCTGGGCTCCAAGCGACCGCGATCTGAGCGGGGAGGAGGAGTAGATGCGCGAGGAGCGGCGGCATGGCTTTTAGATTCGTCCATGGCTCGCTTAGAGCGATGATGACTCGAGGCAGTGATGCCGGCAGCTCCAGGAAGTGCCGCCATGATTGAGACGCGGTCGGGTTGCGACTCCTAGTAGGTAATTAAAGAGATCGTGGGGGAAGCGGTGGGGAGAACGGGTCGTGACGGCGCAAGAGGATAGCGGAGGATTGCCAGGCAAGCGAAGCGACGCTTGATTGATGAGGTCAACAGGCGGCAAGGGCGGAGAGAGAGTCCAGGCGAGACGGTGAGGGCGCAATCCCAAGCACCGTCCAGCAGATCTCGGCTTTGTTTTTCGGAAGGCGTCTATCGCATCGTCTCGATCTCGCGAGGACCCAGCAACTGGGGGGGTTGTCGGGCACGGTGCTCGGCTGAGGGCGCTCGTTTGGCCAAGTGGTTGTAGTCGACAAGAGATGAAATACGCAGCAGAGAATCCGAAGCCGCGATGAGAAGAAGAATAACCTAGAGAGGGGAAGCTCGTGGCGATGCAAGACGCGGCAGCTGGCGATGCGAGACGTGATGTGCGAGATCCAAGTAGCAGGATAGAGGTCGAGGTGGGCGGGTGCGGTACTGGGCTTTGCCGGGTTTACGCTGAGAGGAGCGCTGGGGGTGGCGGGAAAGAGGGTCGCGGGCTCAGGTTCGTGAGGGATGTTGCTGCTGGAGGGAGGTTGACCTAGGACTCAGAAGGGCGCGCTAACAGGCGCGTGGCCAATCAGCAGTCCGAAACGCCAGGATGGGACCCCCCTGCGCCCGGGCGGGCTCTGACAAGGAAGACCGCGGACGGCCAGGAAACGCGCGGGTCAATAACAACAACCACCACAATAATAGAGGACCGTGATCCCCTGTTGTTCCATGAATCGAGCCTGAGAATGGCATTGAAGGGGAATCGAGGGGCTGGATAATTTGGTTTGCATCCAGCATTGTGTGTCAAACCTTTCATTGTTTTGCTCATTCTGGTTGTACCTGATGCATGCACCTATCCTATCCTCCCTCTCTGCCTCCCATCCAATGCTTCTCCCAAACCCGTTGCAAACATGGACCGATTGACGGGTTCTCGGTTTTTCCCGCACTTCAGCTCCCGTTAGACCCCTACCTGCTTGGTCGCGGTCTCTGCCTTTCTACTGCCGACTTCCATTTAGAGGTAGTTCCCGCGTCCAAGAGCTCGGTAGCTGCCGACGTGAGCACGCACATGGAACAGGGCACACTGTCTGCTTACTGGAGCGGCGTCATGGTCAATGACGGCTCCCAAGAAAGCATGGCTTCAGATAGATAGATGGTGTGGACGTCTATTTATTATTCCCATAACAAATAAATACGGGCACCGGCCATAGCATTTTAGCAAGTCTCAGTTGGTTTAGTGTTCTGCCAAGTGTCCCGTCCACCGCTTGTTGTGTCTTGCGCGCCATTTTGTGGCATTGCCCGCGTGCATATTTGTTGTTTTTGATGTGAGTTGTGCATCCATCCATGCAAACCTGGTATGTGGTCGTGTAAGTGCGCGTTTGTGTGTGTTTTTTTGGCAGTCCGATGTACATGACCCTAACAAATCAGCGATTCGCCCTTTCAATCCTATTTATCTGAAGTGATTCAGTCCAGACATGGCCAGCGTCATCTACGTTCCCCAAGACTTTCGTCTCGTTGCTATTCTTCCTTCTCATCTCCTACCTCTGTACCAGCGTGAGAACCAGTCTCGGGCCAAGGATGCCTCCAATCCCTTTCCTGACAAGACTGGCCAGCAACGCCTTATCAAACAGTAGCGGGACGTTCCGCAGCTAGCTCAGATTCTCAACCCGCAGCCGCAGCCCTGCCCTGTCGTCAACGCGATGTGAAATCGTCAATATGTGAGCGCCAATGTGCGGACGTCGGTGCGTGCCTGAGCGTGCCCAAGGGCAGCCGTCCTGCGTATTTGGACTGCTGCGAGTCTGGTGTGATGATGCATTCGCCAGTGGATAAGATGTTGGTCTGCGCTGCGGGCAAGGACACGCGCGTAAGGGTAAACGTGATGCGCGGTACGTGGTGCGGCAGAAACAAAGCCTCACCCCTCCCACCCAAGCCAGGCCGTCAGACTCGATTGGTTATCCAGCTGCCAGTCATCCAGTCGCTTGTTTTGGTGTCCCTTCTCGCTGGCCTGTCAACTCAAACTCCCTGGCGTGGAGACTCAACCCAGCGTGTCAGCAGCCAATCGGGACGAGCCGGCCATCGCGCACAGTGTCTGTTGTAATCTGCCTCCCCAGCCACACCAGCCGTGCTCAGCCTGCACAGTGACACTGGAAATGGCACTGTCCCAAACACGAGGTCCTGGAGACGGGAATTGTGAGGGTCGCGTTAACGGGCGACGAAACGCCACTCAACGCGTCTCAGTCGCGCGCGTCTTCCCCCTCACTGCCCCCTTTTTGTCTCCCCCACCTGAATTCCAGTGCATGTTTTGGCCAGGTTTTGGGCCGCAGGACAAGGAACCTGGCCTGCGGCCGCTTACAAGTGGCCTCGAATCTACCTACCAGACTGTGGCCCGGGGAGAACACGGCTGCAATAACAGAGGAGCAGCAGGTCGCGATACGATGGCCTCACACACGTGTCCAATGAACTCGACCACCTGCAGGCCGTGTTGCCCTGCATTGTCGAGTCCGGACGTGAGTCTGCCTTTCGGCTCGTTCGCTCGCTCACTTATGCGTATCAGACACACAGGATTATCCAGTCATAATTCGTTCTTGTGCTCGTTCTTTGACGATGTCTCTAAACAAGAGCTACTTCTATCTATCTATAGTTGTAGGGTCATCCTCCCAACATACATCCATGCCTCGCTGTGGCTTTGTTCTCTCCAGCATGTGATCAAGCCGCCCCAGAAATAGACAAAAGAAATCGCAAGGGGTTGTGTGCAAGAAAAGCAAAAAGAAACGAAAAGGATGATATCAGGTATCTCCCCATAGACAAAGAAAACCAGATAATGATGGGGCACTATTGGCCACGGGTGATGTCCTGCACCGCCTAATACGAGTCCCTCAACTCATTCCGTCACCTAGGCCTGTGCTTCTGCTTGCGCCAGCAATCTCTCCCGCCATCCGTTGCAGACCTCTTCGAATCCGCCGATCACTTCTCCGCATACGCCTGCGCACTCTCTCTTCTCCAGTCGCTCCCCCCAGTTACCCCTCGTAAGCCAACGCTCGCCTTCTTCCCTGAGCTCTTCTTCTCTCCTCATCTCAGCAACGATCTCCTTTGCACTCCTCAACCTTCTTGTTGCTGTTGTTGTTGTCTGCCGGGACATGTGCAGTGTGTCGGAGAGATAATTCAAGGTTTGTACCAGGTCAGAGGTGATTGAATGGAGGCCTGTCAGCGAGTTGAATGCCGATGTCGAAGGTCGTGGCATCGTGTCGGAGAGCGATAAGAGCAGCGGGATCAAGTCGTCGATGGTCTCGGGATCCGGGGGTGCGACAAGAGGCGATAATAGAGGAAATGTGAGGTTGTGGATTTGACGGGTTTGATGGTTCAGGTGAGTGGTCAGCGCAGAATGAGCCGTTATCAATCTGCCGTCTCTGTTAGCTTGGCCAGATTCCTCATGATCAATCAGATGGTGTTTCAAACCTTGAAGCGCTGGCCTCCACACTGGACTGGGACCCGAGATCCCGCAACGCATTTGTGACTCGCTTGAATACGTCGTCTGTTGGGCCACCATAATTCTCTGTCCCCCGCCGGGCCAGCGACTCTACAGCGTCCATCTTGGCAACCAGTCCTGGCGGCATGCCAGGAGAGTCCAAATCAGACTCGGATCCGTACTCACTGCCATCGTAATTGCTCGACTGTCGTTGGTGTTTCCGGCGTGGAGAGAGAATCGTCAGGTTCGCAGCTTTTAATCTGTCGCCGTTCTGCTTTGTTGGACTACTAGCGCCCGCCTTCTCCTCTTCCTCCTCAATCGAATGCCCATGCTGGACCTCATCTCCCTCCAGGCCAAGCATCTCACTATCACCATCTCCATCGATGTAGTCACCTTCGTCTCCTGAGTCCGAAAAGGCGTCCGCCAGTTCGTCCGCCAGGTTACCCATGCCATTCCCGTTCAGCTCCAGAGCATCCTGCTGATTGAAGCTGTTCCGGAATGAAGTTGAGGGGTCCTGTGCTGACGATCTGGAGAGCCGCCGAGCTTGTGGGGAGCCCGAGAAGCTATCGAAAGCGGACGAGTTCCGAGAGTGCCTCGGCGTATGCGGTGAGGATGGCATTTTCGTATGTCGGAGCCAGGAAATGCGGATGTTGCTTCCCTGGACCTGGATGGTCTAACCTCGCAAGCTTGTGACTGTCCTGCTGAATACGATAGATGCGGTCTGGAAGGCGGATAGAGGCGGACGGTATTGCTGCAATGGCTGTTCGGGATCGACTCGATGAGGTTCGTTCGCAGCGTTCGTTCGTGTATCTATGCCGCGGGGTGGATGGTCTCCTTTCGAAATGGGGGTGTCGAGGGAGGGAGAGTCGGCGTTGCTCGAAATGATATTGGCTTGGGCGACCAGGGACCCTTTATTAGGTACTAACTATTGATGGCACCAAAATGGCGGCCAACAGTACACAAAGGACGGGGGAGCGAAAAGACCGGGCTTCCGGGAGATTAAAAAGTACCCGATCTCCCCAGCCTAGGAGTTAAGTCAGAAGAACTTGTATGTGTCGACACGTGGAAAGATCATAAGAAGGGTGATATGATATGCCCCTTCATGCCATTGACACAATGACTGAGGCGCTCAACGTTGTCGTGGCGGCGTGATGCTGGCAAGCGAAAACGGGTGGTGGGCCCCTTTTAGCGTCAACATACATGACGAAAAGGTACATTAACTGTGTGAACTAGAAGTGCAGGGACTTGAAACCCAGGTATCGGCTTTGGCTAGGTTGCCATGAGCCTGTTCCCTGAATGCCCCTGTTCATTGTGGCTTTAATGCGAGCTCTAGCCGCACCGCCACATGACACAAAATAGCTCCCTAGCACTTTCGCGGGGCAGCTTTTCTTTCCACTCCCATCTTACAGCAACACGAAGGCACGAGGCTCAGCTTTCCAACAGCCTATACATTGCCGAAGCGCATACTGTTCCTACCTACACCCACTAAGTTGCTTGGGAGCCTGCAGGGTTGGTCACAAACGGCAACTCCTCCCCTGTCAAAATGGCTACATTTCGCCGATTTCGACCCGACGACGTGAACAAGTTCTCAAAGTGCAACCTCGATCCGCTTACCGAAACATACGAGCTCAACTTCTATCTTCAATATCATGCAAAATGGCCGTCACTCTTCCAGGTTTGCGAGGACATTGATGGGAATATCGTCGGATACAGTGGGATTGCTCTTGGGCGTCTTAGATCGCTAGCTTGATGCTAATCTTGATTTCCAGTCATGGGAAAGGTTGAATCCTCGCCAGACGCCTACAAATTCTCCGAGCATTACCTACCGTGGCACGCCCACATAACGGCCCTCACTGTTGCCCCAGAGGCGCGAAGATCTGGCATTGCCAAGATTTTGACCGACCAGTTGGAAGTTGCGGCTGACGCAGAAAACGCCTGGTTCGTGGATCTATTCGTCCGGAGAAGCAATGAGCGCGCCATCAAGCTTTACAAAAGTCTGGGCTATAGTGTTTTCCGCGTGGTCAGGGACTATTATGGTGACCATGCGACTGACCCTACCCAGTCGAGCGAGGATGCCTTCGACATGCGCAAGCCGATGAAGCGAGACAAGGACCATCAACACATTCGGGATGACGGAGAGAACCATGTGGTTGATCCTGAGGATGTGTGGTAAGCGCAACCCGATACTCGATATTCCGTTGCCGATATTCCAATCAGGCTCGATACGTCATTCTCCTGCCCACGACGCCAGCTTTTCCCAGGACTATCGTGAAGGTGTCAGGACGTGGCTTCCATCAAGGCCGTTCAGAGCCAGGCTCCGTCTACTTCATACACACTCCCGCTCACAAATGTGCTCTCCGGGCCAAGGAGGAAGGCTATGACATTAGCGCATTCCTCCGGGGTTCCTTGGCGCTGGAAAGCGCTCGGCTCGTCGAACGCAGCGTCATCTGGTCGACTGTGGATGTCCCAGGCCTTCTTCATCAATGGTGTATAGATAGCACCTGGGGCGACAGCGTTGACGCGCACTTCCCTGTGACCATTCTCCTTTGCAGCGGCCCTTGTCAACCCAATTACGCCGTGCTTGCTGGCATCGTAGGCGCCATGCTTGGCGAATCCTGTTCACTCTAAGTCAGGAGGGGACAGGTGTTGTGTAGCAACTGGTATGGCGTACCCTTGGTACCGTGGATAGATGAGACATTGACAATTGATCCTCTGTCCACTATCCTGCGCAGCTGCGCTCGCAGGCAATACATTGTTCCAGTCAGGTTTATGTTGATGATCTTGTGCCACTCGTCGTCCTCAAGGTCGGATACAGGTCGAACGCCGTGATGCTTGCCAATGACACCAGCCACGTTGGCTGCGCCGTCAAGTCTTCCGTACTTTTTGATAGTGTCATCTAGCCAGTCTTCGACCTCGGCTCGCTGAGATATATCAACCCGAGTGGTTGAGAAAGGGGTCCCTTGCTTTTTAAAGTACGAAGCTGCGCTCTCTCGGGCATCGGGGTCGATGTCAGCGATGCTCACAGTAGCACCTCGTTGTGCGAGGATCTTAGCCGTTGCAAGACCAATTCCACTGGCTCCGCCAGTGATTGCATAGACCTTCCCTAAGAGTGACGTGGAGTACGGTACCGTTGAGAGTTGCGGTGTGCTTGTAAAATACGCTCGTTGGTAGTCAAAGTAGGAGGCGAGATGTGCGGGATGGCTTCGCTCTATTCGGTCTTATATGCGGCCGGGGATTCGTGGGTCGGGCCCTTGGTACCCGAGCTGCCACCCCCGCAGGAATAAATGAAGGTTGATTGGGGGATAGACGATGGATAATATGGACGCATTACCGGTCTCCGTCGCATACTGCACATGGTTGTTCTCATCGGCGATATTGAAGGAAACGGTTGGTCTGCCCCTAGCTCGTGGCTAGCTGGATGACGGTTCCTGGTCTAGGCAGGAGGTACCTAAACCCATATGCTGCAGTACTTGACGACAATATTTGGCTATTTGGTAGGTAGATCATATATATTTGTGAGGTGATTCGCAACTTGTTATCACTGTCCCGTTTCCCTTATGGTCTAGGTAGTTGATATTAGGCTAATAACTGTGTCTCTCTAGGGTAGGCATAACGAGTTCTATGGAAGCCGACACAAAGACGACCTGGTTGAATTCACGTTGTCCTCTCTCCTGGTGTGTACGCTGTGACGTCCGTGTGGTCACTCTTAACTTCTTTCGCTTTACCGAGATTGCGGGTTCGGATGTGAAGGCGAAGATTAGTAGGATGTTATGTTCTGGTTCAAAACGTCCAACACCATGAGCGATCTGTGAGTTAACAAGCTAACAACGGTGTGAAGGAACCAGAGACAAGCACACCCATACGCAGATTAGTATGCGAAACAAAGAGGGAATCCATCAGGAATGGGTCAATGATAGGCTTTAGACCAAAGCTGAGTGATGTAGAATTCGAGGCAGTCATCAACCAGTCTGCCAGTCAACCCATAGCATGGAAGCTCGTAGCCGGGTTACAAAGTGGCACAGCCACCTTGGCACTAGCCACAGTACTGACGATTGGCTGGCCCTAGCACCTGTGTTGACTGGAGACACCATGCGGGTCAGGCCTGAGCATCTCCTGCGTAGCTGGTACCTACAGTGCAGTGCAGCCCCCACCTATCCTCAGGTACCATTACAGAGTCGCCTCGCTGACGGCACCAACGAAATAATTCGCCAGTTGTCTGCCTGTTTCCCCAGGCGGCCGTCATCATCCAACGCTTCATCCTCTTCCCCCATGCCCCATTTCGAGCTTTCTCTTCGCCATCCATCATCACCTGGCCCTTAACTGTGTGCCTTTCAGGTTTTCTTTGTTCTCACAGCGCGCCCGCTCATTTAGAAAGCAATCGGCGAGCTTCTTTGTTACCGCGCGCTCACACACTTTAATATTAGGCTTGCTGCACCTTCCCGAGCCGTTCCTTTTCCCCTTCTCCCCAGCGCCGACTTTTTTTTTCTCCCTTCTTCTTTCAACCTCACTCCCACCACACAGCTTGCGATTGAGCTATCGTCAGCCACCGCACCTAACCCATATTCGGCTCGATCTTCTACCTGGTTCATCTTCAAGAACATCTGTCGAGATGGCTACCACCGCTATGGACTACGAGGCTGCTAATGGCGATCGATACGAAGGTTCGTTGCCGTCCCTGCGGCGCGTTGCGGCGACGCGTCCGCACCACACAACCGTCGCTTGCCCATCTTGCATCACCGCCACCCATCGCCCATCATTTCGATCCCTCCACACATCTCATCGATCAACTAGCTTCGCCATGACTCACAAATAACTGACCCAAAATTCAGATGAGGCACCTCGCTACGAGCGCGACAACCGAAGCGCTTCGCCCCGTCCCCGTGACGACAACGAGGGAAGCCGCCGTCGCTCTGCATCGCCCGGCGGCCATGGCGACAGGTTAGTTCCCGCGCTCCTCTCGGCCAACACATCGACGCCTGCTGACAGTACTTTTTTCTCACAGCAACATGAAGGATGTTTCCGCTCCCCGAGACGATGATGATGGTGCTGTAAACCCTGGCTCTAACCTCTTCGTTACCGGCATCCACCCCAAGCTCACCGAGGCCGAGGTCTCCAAGATGTTTGAGAAGTATGGCGATGTCGAGAAGTGCCAGATCATGCGCGACCCTCACACCAAGGAATCCCGTGGTTTCGGATTTGTCAAGATGGTCACCTCCGAGCAGGCCGAGGCTGCCAAGGAAGGCCTCCAGGGCGAGCAGATCGAGGGCCGAACATTGAGCATTGAGAAGGCCCGTCGAGCTCGTCCTCGCACCCCGACTCCCGGCAAGTACTTTGGCCCCCCTAAGCGAGGTTCGTAACATTGCCTATCTACCTTTCGTTGCATTCTGTTGACTTGACACCAGAGCCTCGTCCTCGATACGACGACCGCCGACGTGGTGGCTACGGTGGCGGCGGCGGCTACGGCCGCGACGACCAGTACCGCTACCGTGGTTACGAGCGCAACTACGAGCGACGATACGAAGAGCGTAGCGGCGGCGGCAACTACGGCGGTCGTGACTACGACCGTGGCTACCGTGAAGAGCGACGCTACGAAGACCGTGCCGGTGGTTATGGCGGCCGTGACTACGACCGCGGCTATGAGCGCCGCGAGCGCGATGAGGGCTATGGCCGGGACCGCTATGCCGGCCGCGAGGATCGGGATCGCTACGGCCCCCGTGGTGGTGCTCCTGCCGGCGGCTCCTCAGGTGGCTACGAACGTGAGCGATACGACCGCCAAGGCGACCGCGACGCCCCCCGAACTCGAGACCCAGCTGCCAGCGCTGGAGCTGCCGGCTACAGCGAGTCTGCCTCTCGTTCCGAGACGCGCGACGCCTATGGAGGTTCGGGCTACTACTGAGTGCTGCCTTGTATGTCTCCGCTAATCCTGCCAGGCGCCCCCGACCGCAACATCCAGTGATCGCATCACCGGCCTTTACTATTGCCTGACTGATCGATCAGTCGTCGGAGTCACGACTCCTCTCCTTACCTCTCCTAACCTCAGTGTTTTGCTCGTGCGCTTTCTTCTGTTTCACTGTTTTTCGTTTTTCTTTTCCTTCCATGGACGACAGCAGATCTAAAATCAAGCTCTGCTTACACAGGAGTTTCGTGTGATTGCGACAGTTAAGGGATTGGAATCAAAAAATGGGTACTCGGCCTGCGTCACTTGAGTTTCTTGTTGCTGGTCAGTCTTGCGGCGACGAGGTCACAGAAGGACCACATTTGGCAGCTTCCGGATCATTGCAAAATCAAACACTTCATCAGTCATCCATCGCGTCTATCGACGACTACTTGATAGCATTGGCAGCACAGCATCAACCAGATGTCGACGTCGGCCTCATCGGTGAATCCCGTGGATCTATAAACACAACATACATCGAATGCGGTTTCCGTTACTCGCAACCCCCTGTGCCGTCTTCAAAACACACAAAAATGGGCTCTGTGCGAGTCGTCGCGGCGGCGCAACCCTGAGCGGGTTCTGGCTCTGGATGATGCCCTGCTCGCCTTGACTGACATCCTCTTTTTGTCTCAGACATACCCGTAAATATGTCGCCCATCGCCAATCAATCACCTATCGCTGTAATCAACTTGACGCCATGCAACCTTAAAATACTTTTGAACAACGCCATAGCTGGAGTCATTCGTCGGTGAGGGTAAAATGCGATAGGAGCGAGTTCGTTATTGTTATGCCCGTGGGTTTCTCAACAACTCTACGTCACCGAGGCCCGCTGAAGCATTCCTGGGCTGGATCTTGACAAACACCGGACCTCCCTTGAAACATCCCATCGAGATGTAGCTGGAAACACGTCAATTGGTAAGGTCTGCAGGCTGGGGACTTTACTGACTTTAGTGGCAGGGAGAATCCCTTGACAGCGAAGCCGAAACAGTGCGACCCTTCTACGATTCACCGCACATGGTGGACTTGGACATGGCGATTACTTGGCTGGTTTGTTGGGCATTTCTTCACCCTTCATCGCTCAGAGGAAGTCGTGGTAGGCTTTGCTTCCTGAATTAGGCGGCGTCATGTACTTCCACCTGCCTGTTGTCTCGAGTGTTTGGTTGTAGTAGCTGTGTATCTGCACGGTGAATTGCTGCATCAAGTGATGCAATCAGACGCTAAGATCCTTTGCCTATAGTAGTTCCAAATCAAGATAATCTTAATCCAATGTCATTGAACCGCCTGAGTCTTGTGGGAAGTTAGACTTGACCTTTCATACTTGTACCTCTTGTTGATCGAGGAAGCAGACTCGACATGCTTTCGACTCACCCACAACGCCGACATATTGTTTATTTGAGCTACTACCATGGAGACGTGCATTGTTTTGCCCGCACGTCTTCAGGTATGGCTAGATTTCATCGACTTGCCCAACTGCCACCATGTTAAGTAGAGCTGACTGCAGCACAAGGCCTCACCTTGGGAGGACTGCACTACATATTAATGTCAAAAGCAAGTCAAACATGCAGCGACAAAGTGCACTCGGCGTTAAGCCACCGTTTAGTACATTTAATTACGTTCGTACTCATAGATCATTACATCTGCCCTGAAGGCAAATCCTTTTCTTTCATAGGTAGCGTCCCCTTGAAGCTTCGAGAGCTTGGTCTACCATCAGTTTCCACCGTCTTCAAGTCCCGCCCACTCTAATCGCCCCGTATCGTGATCATCGCCAGAAGAGCATATATGGCACTCTATCTGGTTATTGCTGGCTACTTCCAGATCGAGTTGGATTGGCTCCAAGAAGCCATCCAACACCAGAAACAAGGGTACCCGTCGCGGCCTCCCTCAACTGGTCCCTCTTTCTCACACGGTTATGATCGTGGCTTTCCGTATCCGATGTCTCATGCTCCGGGGCTGTCTTGTCTGAAGTAAAGGAACTCTGTAGGGAACCCTGCAAGCTGGACAACGACGTAAAGTTTCTCTGCGCAACCCGAGCTGTAGCCCTTGAGAGATCAAAGAGGGACATTGGTGCTTCTTCAGCCTGACGAGCGCTCGCACTGGCGGTGATGTTGCGGGGCGGATATGCCTTGTCTGGGTCTGGGGTTTGAAATGTTCCTGGGAGGCCGGATAGATCACCGGCAGCATTCCACGCGTCCTCCTTGGCAGCCTCTTCTTTGATGGCCGCGTCTAGCTGCTCTTCACAGCGGCGGAAGGTTTTCAGTACTTCTTGAAGCTGAGGGGGAGGTGCAATACGCAGAGCAGTGGCCAGGCATTCAATGCGCTGCTCAAGATGGCGGATCTCAGGGTTACCGCTCGCCGTTCCAAGATGGGTTGGTTTCTGTGACCTTTCGGTGCGAACGTATTTTCCAGCGTCTAGTGCTGCCTTCCATGACCATTCGTCACTGAAAATGGAAGAGCGGGATTCGCTTTCGCTACCATGTGTGACTCCAAGACGACTGACCACATACGAGTATGCCGTTTCGAAGTCGTCCTCGTGTAGAGCAGCTTCTATACACATGGCGACAATGCGCTTTTCGACCATTGATCGGATGAGATCCTGGTCATCGGGCGTTGGTGACTGCTTCCCCCGAATAGTATATGTAGGTAAGCCGGCATTGGCCATATTGTTGCCAAGCTCGACAAACTCTTGTAGCCTGGTATATGCTTTGGGGTTCTGCTCCAGAACCTTTCCAATGATGGAAACTGGATCAGAGTGCACCCTGAGCACAACTGGACTGAAGGGTTCACCTTGCTTGAGCACAAGCCGGTAATCACTGAGGGCATGTGTGGCCCTGAGCAGTGCTTCGATCCGTTGTCTCGCTGGATGAGTCTTGTCTATCGTCTTGGGAAACGCGCTGATACTGTTCCTGCTGTTAGCACCGTTCTGATCTACCGTGCCGCACGACTTACATCTCATTGCACTTCTTTAACCCCCCTCTCGTCCGATTGGGATTGGACGCATTGTCAAAAGCTCCAAGAGCAGAGTTCTGCACGGTGTTGAGTAGTACTGACGCCAATAGAGGGGGGTTTGGCGTTGCTTCGTAGAGGGAGTTTGCAAGTGAGTACCCTAGGAAGCGTTAGAAAACGAAGGTATCAATTGGATGCATTTATGCGACTTACGCCCACTCGATAGCAAGGCTTTTAGAAACTCCGTCTCGATAAACTCGACAGGGACATGTCCAAAGATGCCCCGTATAGAACCATTTGCTACAGGGCCAGGCTCATTTCCCCAACTGTGTAGCCAGAGGACTTCCTGTCGTGCTCTAATCCAAAACTCATCGTCATTCTTGGGCGCACGGGCAGAGAGTGTTCGTATCAATCGCCCAAGTTCGGACTTTTGGTCCTGAACGTCCTGGATAAATGCAAGATCTCCGGCCTTTCGGACCGTGCAGGGCACACCGGACCGTGTTAGAAGGAAGGCACTTTGGATCAGGACAGTAAGGAGGTCAATTGACTCTTCCTTGGGTGTTGTCAGCGGGTTTGACGGTTGCAATAGATCGTTCCGTAAGTGTGCCGAAGCCTTTGCTCCATCGAAGTCGCTGGCATTAAAAGGCTGAACAGGCGCAAGAGCTGCTACCGTCGACTGGAGGTTGCCTTCGGGCTCCTCGTCCAGGAGAGTTTTAATCTTGCTGCACATTTTGTATGCCCCCTCTAGGGCATCAATCTCAGAGTCGGGAACAAGGTATGCTGAAGCTAACACAGCTTTGGCGTATGTGCGGTCAAGGTACTGCTGCTGATTCTCCTGAAGCCAGGCACTGGTTTCTTCTCCCAGGTCGGTATCTGACGGGCCATCCCACGACTCGATCGCTCTCAGCGCTCTCTTCCACGAGCCGGAAGCCTGCGATATGAGCCACTCGAGAGTTTGCTCCCAGCCGGGGCAGGACAATTCTAATGCTGCACCAGACTCGCTGGATGTGTCCTCGTTAAAGAGATCCCGCTTCCACCTCGTATCGTTGTAAAGCCATGGTCCGATCAAGCCCCTCAAATCGCGACCAATAAGGCCATACTCATCATCCGCGGCGCCAGTCTCAGCAAGTAGGTACTCCACAGCGGTCCTATCTGGAAGATTCTCAAACTCGAGAAGCGAAAATCTTGCCTGCTTTTGGGGGTAGTATAGATGATTCCTCCTCAGCAGCGGCAGAACCGTCGATACCATCCAAGTGCGTATCGACGAGTCATGGTCGAGGAACGGTACGAGTAGATCTGGGACCAGAGAGACCATGCCCGCCTCTTCGTCCATCCTATAGCCCCTTGAGAACAGGAAGGAGACCAAGGGGTCGAAATCGGTATCATGGGGTACATCGGGGCCTTTTAGCAGCAGGAGATGAAGTTTCTTGATCTTTCTTGAAGCTTGCTCGTCCGAGAGGGTATCGACAGGAGAAGTGTCAAGTTGGTTCTCGGGTGTTGTTTGCGACAGAGGTTCGCCCGAGGTTATGGCATGCACAAAAGGCGCATAAATCGAGGGACTGACGGTTTCGGGAAGGTATGTGAGAAGAATTCGAAGTATGAGTTCCTGGCGCAGAATAGTGCCATGTTGGCTGGTGAGGGAGGATAGGCTTTCAAGGTCGGAGATGGTCGCGAAATGCACCGCCAGAAGGACCACCTTTGCAGGAGAGAGAGGGAGACCAGCCATAGCGAGAATCGAAATGTGCCGCTCGGTCAAGCCTGATAAGTCCCCAATGGTGTCGGATTCGTTAGATTGGCAAGGGGTTTCGGCGTGCTGGTAGAAGAAGAAGAACTCCTTCGCATTGAGTCCGACGTCGTCATATGGTTGGCGACAACTAACAAAGTGGCAGGTGTAATGATAAGATAGAGACATGGTGGGACAGGTAGCTCCAGCCACACGCTACTTAGGTTCAAGCTGTCCCTGGTTTTGTGTCTCAATGCGCCACGGATGGCTGAGGTATTTCCGGGGTGGCAGTACTAACAGTAATGACCGAGATTTCAAGGCCCATATCATGCAGCAAGAAGTATCTCCAGTTATCTCCCCAGCCCACCCACTCATCCAATCGCCGCGCAGCGATTTGCTACACTCGTCGGGTGAACTCATGTGCCGGAACACTTGACGACTGACACTTCAACGTCGGACAGACGCGAATTAACGACAACACATCGCCCGACCCGTAACAAGCCTCGATACATACTCAATTGGCTCAAGATGGCGTCGGGATATGGTCTGAACGGCGGTGAGTTCGACATGGCGACACCGGTATCCAATTTCGAGCGGGCTTGAGCTGACAATTGCACCTCGGTCTTTAGGCGTCGGCCGCTGCTTTCCCTTCTGGCAGGAGGTTATGGGCTGCTACGTCGTCAACACCTCGGCCACTGACGACTCGGGCAAGAAGAAGTGCGGTTTTGCTCTCGAGGATTACTACGAGTGCCTTCACCACAAGAAGGAGGTGAGTTCGGGACCGAGAGAAGCCGGTGCATTCGGCATCGTGGGACAGGATATTGACGATGGTGCACAGCACGCCCGAGCCCTGGCAATCCAGGCTGCCTACGCCAGAACCGAGTCTTCGACTGCCCGAGACGACGCGCCGAGCGTTAAGCAAATACGGAACCTGGGACTCATCGATAAGGAAGAAGACACGAAGAAGGTGTTGGGGCAGAGTTAGGGGTGGAATGAGGCAGATCTGATAAACGCATGATGGAGCCACTGATGTTTTCAGTGTGCGACCCGCATCACCTGTATATGATGATGGAATAAATCTTGGTTCAATTCACCTGGTCCAGCCCGATTTGTCTTTAACCGACGACCGACGACTTGAAATCATCACGAGTGCCGAGAGCAATGCTTGCTGGAAAATGAGGCATCACGCTGTTTCGCTAAATACCCAATGGTGCTTTTCAGCCCAAACGTTGTTGTCCGGTCGAAACCTCAATGGGTACCTTTCTTGGACGGCAAGGATCTTCGAGATGGGGCCATCTAAGGTTCTCGGGTCATCGTTATCCTATGATTCAGGAAGTGGTATGCTGATACACATGAAAGCCGTCGTAGGCGGGCAAATGCCGTCTACAAAGCCGTATAAATGATTAACTGGCCCGCAGTAGTATGGGAATTGATTCGAGGCGTTACTCGGGAGAGTGTAACATAAATTCCATACCTATCCTATTCGAGTCCTGTTGGCGGGCAATGCGTGGGCAGAAAGTGGTGTATGTACGGCTGGTGGCAGCTGGTCGTCAGTTCCTCCTCCAAAACTGGTCGACTTTCTACCTCGAAGCCCTACCACGTTTTCTAGCCATCACATCCTCCTTTTCTCAATCAACTTCGCATGCTGGCGAGTTCCTCAAGTCATCCTTGGTCAATTTGTATAGCCTCGATTTTCCCTTGCTCCCCCTTACAGGTTGGTTCGATTAGCCAGGCCTGTCGCAATGCCCTGCTTTCGAGGTGTCGACATCTCCATCGTCGCCCAACCCGGTTCCAAAAAGCTCCCGGAGTTTCCTCACTCGGACGCTTCTTCAGTTCGTATCTTGCCGCCGGTTGATCGCTCTCCCAATCCGACCAGCGCTGGCTCGGCCTCCCCTGGCGCAGGCTCGCCGCATATCCAGAAAGCCAGCCCTCGGGTCTCTGTTTATGTCCCATCCGTCCCAGGCAGGTCGCTCCTTGAGCTCTTCCTTGGCAGGGACCCTCTAACACCAGTTTTAGGCGCTCAATTCGGAATTCATTACTCGCTCAGCAAGATACCCGAACCGCCATGCTACCTGTATTTCAAGATTTTCATGAACGGCCGAAACGCCACCAACTGTGGAGTAAATCCTGCTGCCCAGGCCTCGGGCTCCATCACACGCTCTCTGTGTGAACCCAGTGACCGATGGCACTACAAAGAGAACGGGGTCCTGCATAAAAGAGAGGGTATCGAGGCACGCTGCTTCTACTTCCTTCCGACTTCGAGCAGGACCTCCGTGGCAGATGACGGCGGTCTCATTGAAATTCAGGTCTTTCGAGCCAAGGGCCGCAAAAGAAGGTCGCCTATACTGGGAAAACACCGCGATCAGGATACCTATGGCATAGCGTTTGTCTTCATATGGCTGGTCTCCGAGTTTGCGGACTAACGTCATGACAGAACACCATCAGGGGGGCTTGTAGAGTCCCCTGAAACTACCTGCTACTACGACTGGATTCTAATCGACCCCAAGGAGTTTCCATTTGTCTCATTTCACTTTCACTACCGCTCCTGGTCCAATCTCTGCCAGCTGAATCTGGCACCAGCATTCACGGAACTGGGCGAGTTCCCTCTCTTGATCCAGGAGAACCCGCGCGGAGTCACATCAGGTCTTTCGACCGGTGACCATGAAACAAAAGGCCAGGAGTCGATCAGATTCGAAGATACGTGTGACAAACATGCGGGCACTGATAGCGATGACGATCTTCTCGATGTCCTGTCAAGGCTAGCGCTACCACCCAAACCACCAGGTCGACCCCTCTCAGGCGAAGAGATTCCCAAGATGGCACCACCAGGGGGTTCTGTTCGCCCTCTTCCAGAAATCCCGACCAAAAAGCCAACACTGAAGAAATCTTTTGAATCATGTACACCTTCTATTACGCCATCTCTTCTGCCATATATTGAGGAAGAGCCTAGCGAGGTCGAAGAGGAGGTCGAGATTGGCTTAGCAAAGTCGATACCCGTACGATCCGAGTCTCTTCGCGGCAACAAACCCCGACCACTCAAGCTCGCTGGTCTTGGAAGCCGTCCAGAGCCGCTGTCGTTACCTAAAGAAAGAATGCAGCCAACCCTTCGCAAGCCGTCGGGATTTCCAATCAAGACCCCCGGCTTAGATCACGACCACACCCAACGAGAGTCCACGAACGGCAGAAGCAATCAGGGGTGTCAAGCTCAAAGTGAACTAGGATCCGAGATTGTATCCATCGTCACAGAGACAGAGCAATCTTTCAAAACCGAGTGGACTTTGAGTGAGGGCGAATGGATGAAAAGGGGTCGTTGATGACATGGCAGAGATATGTAGGGGGTGTTGCGCTTCGTTCCGTGAGCCAAACGAACTCTTAAGAGGCGAACAGCGGGCAGTTCATGGGCTTCCTTGGTAAGGGTTACGGCCACGATGCACATTTGTATGAGCAAAGGATGTATAATGATCTTGAGGTTTAGATGCAGTGCTTTAATCTCAATCAAGCGCTCAAATAAAAACAACCCCCTAATGATAATAAACTGACACGATTCACCTCACCTAACTTTCAGAGCAGTTGTCACTTCCCCGATGTTTATCTGATTTGCTGATTGCCAGTGGCAGCCCAGCAGCTGGCAACAGCTGGCAGCAACTGACAGCTCCTGCTTCCTTCTTCCTGCTTCGTACCTTCTTGGGGTGACGCCCTCCCTTCCCTTGGTTTGCACAGACCTTCAATCACCTGTCGGGGCCTAGCAAGTAGTGAATGCCGACATCACGACACCATCGAAATGGCCGACTCTGGCTTGCTGCGGTTCCTTGGGGCCAACAAATCTCGTGCCCATGGGCTATCCTCACCTCGGTCCGAACCTGCTCTCAAAGATCTTGCCAATATGAGTCAAAGAGACACCGACGTGCAAGCCCCTCCCGAGAGGCCAAGCATGACACGCATGGCGAGCTGGCAGGGTTTGGCCAGCACCGAGCAAGCAACACCGAGTGCTTCGGTCCCTGAGCCCCCAGTCATCGAGGCAGACGATGTGGACAAGCTGTTCATCAACGCAAGCCAGCAGGTCTGGCACAATCCGTCGATGGATCAGATAGCAGGGGCTTTACGTGCTGCATTGATGACGAATCCTTCAAACCAGTCACTCTCTGCTGAGTACCGCCCTCACATCTTGTACCTACTAGAGGGGTACAGTAACATCCACCACAAGATTGCCAAACTCGAGAGAGACTTGGAGAATACGAAGGATGTACTTGAGCAACAAGCTCAGCGACACGACACCATTGAGGAGCATTGGATGGTTCAAGAGGCGAGATACAAGGCTGAAGTCAAGCGTCTTGAGCTGGTCATTCACGAAGTGTCAGGCAAAGGCCTGCAAGCTGTAGCACTGGCCAGAGCCGGCAGCCTGATTAGAAACAAGCCAAGAGCTCTATCTCAGGAGGGGGTAGCGCCAGGAGGAGATGCAGCCGATGACTATTCTCCAGGTAGCAGTAAGTGTTCACGAAGTATTCCCATGAAAAATTTCATGTGCAAACCACTTACAATATCAGCCCATGGGGGCTTGCAGCACAAAAGTTCAGACGAAGTATCACACGGCGAATTACGAAGCCGGCCTGGCACGATCCGTAAGTATCTATTATCGGCACTCAGTTGGTTGTACAAGTCAATGCTGATGTGTCACAAACAGTAACACGAAAGCAAACCATAGACATCAGCAACGAGGTCAGGCTGAGCAGGCGTTTCCGACGACTGGATAAAATTGCCCTGAAGAAGCGTGCTGAAGGAACTTGCCGAGTAGACGAAGAGAGTGCCAATCACGGAGAGACCTACGATGAGCAAGGCCGAGCCGAACAGCCTTTCCGGAGAGAGACCGGCTCCCCATCGGGTACAAGCTCGTCTGGTGTTGGTGATGAACCGCCACAGGAAGGCAAAGCCAAGAAGAAGCGGGATTCCGCCGAAAGAAGAGCATCACATGGTGCCGGTATTGACAAGGCCGCAACGCAGACGTCGCAGAACGACAAGGCTGCAGTACATGAGCCTAGGAACGATGACCAGCGGGCGCGTGGTCATCGTCGCCAGTTCTCGTTTGTACCTGGAGACGATGGGGCGGCAGTGAGGCTGGCAGGCACAATGGCGTCACGAAATACCGCAGTGGCTCAGGAAACCCCCGAACAGACAGCAGCGTTGGGTGATCAACCGAGGCCACCCCTCTCGACAAAACCGGAGGTCGAGATCGGCCGAGTGGATAAGGGCAGGAGGAGTCCTACGGCCGGTTACTGATGATACCACCGGAGCCACGGAGTTTGGAGGACCCAGCGAGCAGGTCTCGTGCCGTTCTCAAACCGGACCTGGAGCAAAACGACTCCGTAGAGCGGAATAGTTGACCATCAGTCGAGAAATCCGGACAACGAGGCTGGGACGAGCATTCTTGGCGCCCAGTGAGTGATGGATATGCGGCCTTGCCGAGCGAGAACAGAGTTTCTCACGGTGGTCAACGGTGAAAGTTTGTTCGAGGGGTGAGGCCGAGGAGGACCCATCTCACAGGAGGGGTGCCCGAGAGGTGTTGCGGCGATGGACGATGGCAGCGTGAATCCTGATGTTCCTGACAGCTGACGGCACGGGTATCCGCAATGGGGAGTCCGGGGCAGGCAGGTTTGGCAAGACCGAGGGGCGTCGGGTTGACGAGCTCGACGGAAGAAGCAAGGCGTGTGATGGCGGACGTGACACAGGCACAGCGGGCGAGACGGGATCTAGCCGTGCAAGACAAAGACAGGTTGTTCGTTGAGCAAAACGCGGAGGAGATAGGCTAGACAAGCCCGGACCTGCCTGTCATGAAGCACAAGACGCCGGTGCCGAACCTTAGATGAGGCTCATTGTACTGACAACCGTCAGAATTAAGGTTAAACTTGGAGCGGCTCTAGGGTGGCGCACAGTAGACTCGAGGACAGGAATGCTGTTGGCGTTGGTTTTCCATGTGCTGAATCGAGCGTTGGTGAATCGGCAGCGGGAAGGGAGGAATGTGACAGCCACTATTCAAGGAACCCACCGGTAGGACGGGAAGATTGAGCGAGCTTGTCCCCTTGGCTGAAGGATGGCGGGAAAAGCTAGGCTAGGGCAGCTCGTCTGCTGGCAGAGCTTGGCAGGCTGATAGGGTCTGGAGTCGTGGGCGAGACGGATCGTGGAGAGGTAAGTGGAATCCATGATTCGTGTACATTCTGTTTTCCCTCACCTGTGCCTACCCCTCATCTGATCAGTCAAAGAAAGTAACATTCCCTTGCTTTCGGGGTTTCTCCTGTTGAACTTTTGGAGGAACCTTGTCGGCGTTTTGAGCCCGAATTTGCCGAGCCCGCATGTTGATGGAGGCAGCAGTTTGAATGCTCAACACCGGAGACGGTTGGCGGTTGATGCGTTGCTCAATGAGCCAATATGCAAGCGTGTGAGAACACGGATGGGGATGGCTTCACTAGCAGCGATCGAGCCCCAACGTCTGTCGAGTGGAGGTTCAGCTCGGAGGGGGGTGTGAGCTAGTTTTGCCCAATCAAGGTGTCGGGTGCCTTGACAGCCCCAGGCCAGGCACCTCGAACGGGGTGATGACTAACTAGCGCCTGGAGCTGGCAGCGGATCGCGCGGCGCCCCTCCCCTTCCCTTCCCCGACCCCCCGAACGACGATAAGCGAGAGCGCTGAACCCAGATCCCCGGGTCTTGCACCTCCTATCCGACGGGAGCCATCCATATTCGTCGTGAGAGGCTCGCTCCCGTCCCTCTGTGTTTTGCTTCCCCCCATCGCACCCCTTCCTGCCTTTGGTTAGGGCAATCGAAATGGAGGAGCCATCGCTTCAACCGTCGAGGCAACCTGTGTAGGTTCACCATGATCTGACTTTTTCCGTCCTTTCTTTATGTCGGCAACCATTAATTGAGGCGCCTGGCTCGGCAAGGTTGTCGGGTTTGGCTGTTGGGGCTGGATGCGATCCACGTTGCTGGGGATCAGACAGTCCCGGCAGCAGGTGCAGACGGTTTTGTGGGAACGACGGCGGACGGACGCGACAACGGGAATGGGCATGAGAATGAGAATGGGGGACCAAAGAGAGGCGGAATGCGTGCGCCGCGCGTGTTGCCTCTTGTCGCGGGTCTAGACAGACGCCTCAGGACCCGGAAGCATACAAAGATTTGTCATTGATTGATTTTGAGGTGAGGCATGGAGATGGGTGTTGGTTGCACGCAATGGGTGGCACAAGGTTTTGCGCAGTGAGGGTGAGCAACACAATGCACCCAGCCGTGCGCGTTCTCGAGGCAGGTGGTTCCCTGCTGAAATGAGCAAGACAGGGAAGAGTTGCCGTGTCTCGATGTTTGTCCCCATCTCAGGATGGATGGATGGATGGATTGGATGTGCATTGCATGGCATCACATTCGCCAACTGAGTTTTTGTTTCCTTCCTTTTGCTTCGCCGGTGGTTTCGCCTCGTCGATCCATGACCGTTTCATCAACACCACCACCCGCGAAAACGCAGCACAAAGTAAAAAAAAATTAAGGTATGGCGATGGCATCGTCAGGAGTGAGGATCCAGCACGCAAGCAGCCGTCAAGGTACCACCGGTCCCAACCAACCTAATCCCCTCTCCTGGCACGCACGATCAGAGGGAAATGATGAGCGGCAACCAGATCGCAGCGGCTTGCGACGTCGTCGTGACGCAAAAGGACAGCCATGGCTTGGTACCGACTGTGCACCAGGGACGGATGTGACATCGGGATATAATACGGGTACGTACTATGCCACATGCATTCTTGGGGTCGCACGATTGAGATGAGATGAGGTGCAACAGAAAGACTCCCTGGATACCCAAGATTCGGTCTGAGACCCTCGCAACGGGCCTTGCCAGAGCGACCCTCCCAGCTAGCCTGCCCGTGAGGAAAATTGGACAAAAACGGGGTAGCACGATGCAGTCTCGGAGGGGTTCAAGATTGAAGCAGGGGCCGTCGTCCAACTAGAGCACGATGCTGGAGGGGAGTGATTTTAGCCAACGGTGAGAGGTGCGTGAGCGTGAGCGGGAGCGGCAGTGGACCTCCTAGACCTCGTAGCCGGATCCATGATCCATGCTCTTGATCCAAGACATTGGCATGGATGGACATCCCATCCGCCCAGAGACAAAATAACCCGTGTGTGGCTGGCCCCGATGGAGCAAATAGCGGCATGTTCTAAGCCGCAAGCAGTCGAGCAGTTGTAGGCAGTTTTTCAAATAGTTTCAACCGTTCGCCTTCAGCCCAGGGCCTCGAGGGGACGGCGACGTTGGTTTAATGACTGATCAAGGGTCTCTGAGTCGCGCACAGCTTCAAGGTTTCCAGTAGCGAGGGACTAGCCCGTCGGCCAGCCAGTCAATGAGCCCGGCAGGAAGGCGAGCCTTCTCTCAAAACGTCCAATACACCACCTGCATACCCACGACAGGACCGATCCATCCATCAGAATGGATCCGATCAACAACGGCCATCGCCCATCGACAGCAAACCCAAGCCAGAGCGTGCGTCTCCAGCACAGGCGCCAGAACGGTGGAAGAACCAGGGAAGCGCAGGTTTGACAGGGGACGACAGGGTCCAGGGTGCGACAGCGAGCAATCAGAGACAAGGAACGACCAGCCCGACAGGGAACAGGGCACCATTGCCCTGGCCCGTCGGCAAATCAGAGGTTCCAACGGGCGGGAGGCCAAGGGCGACACAAGGCGACAAGGACTCAAGGAGACAAGGGGCAGCCCCCGAGGCCGAAACGCAACGGGCGCCCGAAATTCTTCGGGCACTGGCAACAGCCCCAGACACGGGCTGCCATCGTGACGTGACACTTGCAACCAGGAAGGCCCCTGGCGATCAGTAATCGTGAAAATAAAGAAACCGTTGAGACTGGCCTCCTTCTTCTCCCCATGCAAGTGCCAGCAGCCCCCTTGTCATATCCCCTGTCGTGGAATTTCGGGCACGCACTCTCAGCGATGTTCGTCGGCGCGCCATCGTCATGGGGATCGATCTTGGGAGCGACCGACGACAGACCGACCAGGAGGAGGATGGGGGTGTGCAGGGCAAGGGCAAGGGCATGAACGAAAACAGAAGCTGCTTGCTTGCAGAGCTTGGGTGACAGAGAATAAACTCGTTTAGTTGAAGATCGCAATTGAACAAGGGAAAGTGCGAAAGGGGCCGATGTTTCCCAAAAATCGCATGTCGCTTGTGCATGCGATTTACAGATGCTGTCAGGGATTGTCGTCATCGAGGCTGCAATTGCCTCTGTTGGTGATGATGCTGCGACGACAGCAACACCAGCATCTCTCCCACTGGGTCCTGGCCTGACTGGATGACAATTTGATGGAAATGCTCTGCCAACATGTTACGAGAAACAAAACGTATCTGCAGATTTATCCTTGTGGTTGCACGTTTGCGACACCATTTTTTTGTTCTGCTCACCACCTTTTTTTTTCTCCCCTATGTCGATCTGGTGCGTAGAAACACTGGCTCGGTTCTTCTTGGTGTTTCGCCCTCCCGTGTTTCGTGGTCGTCATCGGCAAACGTCTTGGTTTCATGTGAGACCCCCCCGAATGTCATCGACTGCACACCAACATCCCTGTCTAGGCCTGTTCAGCTTCAGTTCGCAAGCCAGCCTCATCGGTGATACTACCCTGTATGCGCACCAAATTTCCAGGTCCCCTTGGTTTCGCCCATCTTTTGCCGGCCGAGGGAGTCCTCGTGATGTGATTAGCAGCAGGTCTTCATTTGAGGCTGGCGTCTTCTTTGATTGCAATGCCTATCCATCTTTCCTTTTGGTTGCGCTCTTCGCTGCTGTATCATCTTATTTCATTGCTAGCCCCAGTTAACTCATGTCGCTCATTTGCCTCTGGCACCCCAAACCGGACCTATTGTCCAATCAATGCGACTTCGTATCCTGGCAAGGGTCCTCTGTGAAATACCCAAGCAGCTGCCCATCCACGCCTCCCTGAGTGCAGGACATCCCCGTCGTTCAGGTCGTCAGGGTTCCATCTCCCGCAGCCCCTCCCTCCCTCCCTGGCAGCCGTTGAGGATGTGCGAGGCTACGTCGGCGTTGGCTGGCATTGGATCTCGAGCGTTACATGCATGCACCGCCCGAACAGGCATCGAACCCACGGCGGAATCGCCGTCGCAATACGTACGTAACTGAGGACGCAGAAAATAGTAGCTGTGTGCAGCCTGACTCGGTGGGAGGGGAACACAGCAGCACAGCACAGCGACGAGTTTCACACGCCGTGCGCATGTGTTTGCATGGTGCAACGCCTAGCCAAGACCTCGAAACCACCATGCGCGCTGACCTGCGTCAAGCTCATCGACAAAGGCTTTCCGAAGTTGTTCGGACAGTCATTCTCATTCTCGCACGGGGACGTCATAACAAAGGGCCGTTCTACAGCTACAAAGGTGCCATCGACAAGAAGGGAGGAGAACATGTAGATCCCCCATCAAACCAGATCCGCCATTTTTGACAAGACATGGATCGTGCGGTCGCCGGGACCGAAATTCCGCAGCGTGATTGGATCCTGAGCTCTCGGAAGATTCGACATCCAGATTACCCTGGTCCATCTGTCGGATCGGGCCAAGGAGGCCGCAACGTTGCGGGTGAGGCAGGTCAAAGCAAGACCAAGACCCCAACCCAAGGGCCCGTTGACTCCCGCGCCGCGCCCGCCAGGTGTGTTGAGTGCCGAATCGTGAGATTAATCGCCCTACTCATCGACTGTAACCAAACAAAGGAAACACCACTAGTCAGAGACCTCATTTGCTGGCCGGCCTTGGGCTGCTTTTTTTACTGTCTCTGAACGGTCATGATGCGCACCTGCAGCTCGCATCGGTGGCGGTCGACGGTTCCGCGCTGCATCTCACCGGGGCCAGGCTGGGAGACCCTTAGACCTGGGTCGGGGTGTTTTTCAGCATGAAAAAGCAATGATGATCAAGAATAGCCAATCTAATCAAATAAACCGAGCTGGAAAGAAAAAAAAGAAAAGCAAGTAACTGAGCAGGCACAGGGGGCGGGTGCAACAGGGCGGACTGAAGAGACAAGAGGAGAACAATAAACAAGGGAAGACCTCTATTGCCCCCAATAGAAGGGAGACACAAGAGATCCAATACAGAGTAGACATCGGGGCTGGTAACGGTTCCCCGATCTCTCCACCACGAGACAGCGAATGCCCCCTCCCCTCCATATCCGCGCCCTTGGGCACCCAAGAACGGTTTGCGTTGACGGATGGGATCATCGTCAGAAGCCCGCGATGTCACCTCGTTTTGCTTGCACTTCCCTGTTGGGCCTTGTCGTCTGCCAACTCTGGACTAGCATCAGCGCCTAGAGCAATAGAGCCCCTCGTTCGGGACGCTGTCGAGCCGGTAGATGCATCCATCAATCATCGATCAGTCATCACTAAATCATCCCCTCACACTCTTTAGCCAGTCGAGTAAGCCTGACATGCAATAGACAGCAAGCAGACGAGACGCACGCATGGGGACCCATCCACCCAACATCACCGAGACAAACAAGCCTGGCCCGGGAATCAGGAATCCCTCCCGCTAGCAGCAAAGCGTAAATATGCCACACCAGCACCCTAAGCAGCAAATCAAAGCGCCATCCCCGGTGGAAGGGGTCCCTATTGGGTCCGAGCCGCTCCGGGCGCCAGTCCGCCGTTCTCCTTACCGCTAGGGCCGCTGTCTGGGAAGCCAGACCCTGCTGAAAAGCAAAGCAAAGGAAAAAAAAAACATCGTCGTCGACGCTGCTTGGAGGCCCAAGCCCGGACGTAGCTGACGCCCCTCCTCCACCGTCGGGTCGGTCGCAGCTGGCGTTGGCGCGCGATGGATTGATGGAGCTGGGCTGGCCTGGGCTGCTGGGGGCCTTGGCTGTGGACGCATCGCATGGATTGGATCCCAGATTCAGCCATCTTTTTGATGGCGGACCAGGGGTGCGAAATCGAGATTTTACATCTGGATCTGGCTCATGACAATGCAGTCCTCGACCCTCTGCAGATCGACGTCGATCCTGTGTGCGTGCGTGTCTCGGTTTCTCTGTCTGAGCCCGAGTCTACGTCTGCGTCTCGTCCGCGTCTGCAACTGACGGTGCATGCGTCTCAACAGCCATTCACCACCAAATGTTTCCATCCTGTCTCTACCCGTATTAGGTTGCTGCTGCTCTTCCCCTGTCCCCCGCTTCCGACGATGCATTGGTTGGTGGTAGGTGGACGCCAGAGATCTGTCCAGATGTGATGAAGGCCTTGCCTGCAGAGATTGGCACGCAAACAACATGACGAGCACAACTCTCGTTGGTCTCAACTGCCGTACCTCCTCCTACACAAAGAAAGATGCAGTTATTAGCTAGCTAGTTAGTCTCGTAATCCAGTCCTGTGGATTTCTTCCACCGGGCATAATCCCAGGCATCCGGGCATGCTCCTCGCTCCCGCGTCCCCATCGAGCGCCATCCTCCCCACTTACGCAGCTGGTGTCCTTGCTACCTATCGGCTGCCACATTCCAGTCTCACTTATCCCAGCTAGTTACTCAGTTAATCGATCGGATTGCCCGCGAGACAAGTCATGACAAACAACGACAAATCACAAATTCTTCCCTGTACGGTTGGAACCGACAGACGCCAAACTGGAGCCGCCAAGGCCGCCTGGTTGGCTCAAGTCCTCGTGGAGCCACATGCCGCTCTCAACGGCTGGAAAAAGTCTCATCTGGGTGAATGCACAGTGGTTTTTGCTTCACGGCCGGCAACGGATTCATTGAGTCTTGAAGGTTGGGGAAACATCTCCATGTGGGGGTATTGATTCAACTCGTTTAACTCGTCTTGAACACTCATCTAGCATAAAATAAACACTCCTAAAACGCCATATTCGCCCCGGTTGTACAATTGCTCCACCATGGAGACTTGGCCTAGCCCTTCAAGTCACCAGCTCCTTGCCTGAACGCCTGGTATCTCCCTTATGCCATTCCCAAGTGCTTCTTCCTTGTGCTCCAGGTCATACCGCCAGTTTGGCGAACCGCCGTGGAGGAAACCCAACGCCGAAATAAATGAGGCCACCCAATATATAGCTGTCCGTAGGAAAACCGATTTTCTGTGCTCCGTTGCGTGCACTCCCCCAGATCGGTGATTGTGATGGTTTGTGTGCCGTAGTTACACCAGAGCCATGTGCTGCGTGTGCACCGACTGATTTAGTTTAGCAGGAGAGAAGTCAGCTTCATGCGGGAGTCCTGATCCGATGGCTGCTGTCGGGTCTGTGCTTGCTGCTGCACAGGCGAGTTGGGTGCGGTAGGCAACTGCCCTTGAGGAACAAATTGATGCTGTCGAGGCTGGCAATCCATTCGGTCTGCATAAGAGGGAGCGGTGAACTCGCTCAGGCTGGGAAGCTTAGAACCAGCTGGGGCGTGGAGGTGGTGAGCGTCCCTGATCGGCGGCAACTCGAGTGGCATGTGGAGGGGGATGTGGTGACGTCCGGGCGAGGTGGTATAGTTAGAGCCTGCATCCGACTCGGCGGACTCGGAAGTGCAGGGCGAGGGAAGAGGTGCCTCGACCCAAGGCACGGGGTGACGGTGGTTGGTGGCAGTCAGAGGCGATAGGTGTGATGGCATGGACAGGCTTGGTGTCGAGATGGAGAGCGAGTGCCGGGAATGGGCGTACTGCTCATCGTAAGGCTGAGGGTTACGTCGACGATCCATCCTCTTGCGGCGGTTCTGGCTGCCATTCCACCAGTTCTTGACAGCATTGTCACTTCGACCATTAAGGCGGCGAGCGATCTCGGCCCAACGCTTTCCAATCTCCCGCACCAGCTGATCGATCTGGGCGCCCTCCTGAGGGGTGATGGGCTCGTGGTTAAGACTCGGCTTCAGGTTTTGGTGGTAGCGCTCGCGGCACTGCTTGGGTGTCCTGGATCCAAGGGTCTGGGCAATGCGTACCCAGTTGAGAGGGCCATGAGTGTTGACAAGTTCCATCAAGTACGCATCCTCGGCGTTCGACCAAGGACCTCTCCGGTGACCCATCGACATGATTGCGAGACTGGTAGGCTGTAGTAGATGGAAAGATTACGAGTTGGGATGCCCAGTTGAACAGCGACCCAGTGGGCAAGTGGAAGGATGTGAAGTCGTAAGCGAGGAGAGGTGTCGGAAGATTAAAAAGTGTAGTAAAAGTGTGTTGAAGACAGTTGAGAATGTTTGATCAAGCGTTGAAGAAGTGTGCTTTGATCTGAGATTATAGATGTAGATGATGGGTGGGTGAGGGGGGAGTATTTGAGGCTCTGGAAAAGAGATCTTGACTCAGAAGGAGGGTTGTGAGGTGATGAAATATCCGTGGGAGACCTGGATGGGGCGCGGCTGGGCCCAACGTAACTATGGCATGAAGTACAAAGTAGTATGGGGAAAGCAAAAAAGTCGTGACACCGGGAGGGGGTGCGATGGGGAGGCCAATTACCTGCACCCCCCAATAACAAACTTTCTCGATCTGCCACCGGGATGCCGCTGTCGAGATAGATGTGCAGCCCATGGATGTTTGGGGCAGGTAGCGCCTTGGGAGGGGGCGTGCAGGTGGAGGCTAACCCTAACCCGGGGGTGTCAAAGGCTATTGGCAGGGGGGTGGGGTAGGGGTGTCAAGAAGCCCAGGACAGAACCACAGGGACAGGGGTCACAGGGCAACAGGATTGGATGGGCGTCTCGACCCGCCGCCGTCAAAGCAACACTCACTGACTTGACGGGACTCTCGAGAGGGGGATGGGCGTGTTGATTCTGGAGCCCAGCTTGGGTGGTTGGCTCTTCCTCCAGCTACCTTAGTTCTACTGTACCAAGCTTCTCAGCAGGCACCTTGACCGGATGCGATGAGCTCCGACAGCTATCGTAGTGGCATCGTCCAGGACCCAGCTCGCCTCAACCATCGACCAGTGCATCGTCCGAATCCCAGGATCCAATCCGTCGGGGTCACCTTTTTGGAGCCACCTACTGGTAGTCGACGCCTCCAGGAACTGACAGAGTCCCTTGCCCTGATGAACGCGGGCCGTCGTTGCTGTCGCAGACGAGGAACATGCCCTCAGCCTGCCTGCGGTGCGGGCCCCTGAAGAAGACGGAACGGGGTGGGAACTTCACAATAGCACTTGGGCGATCTGGAGCCGCTTTGCGACATCTACACTGCTGGTCACATACACGAGGACACGAGGAGCCACGCAGGTAGACGATTGACTTGACATGCACACTGTCTGTCTTTTCACGGTATTCGTAGCCGCAGCACTGGCAAGCTCTTCGGTGTGACAAGGTGCCTGACTTTCTAGGAGGATGCTCATCCGAGAAGCGAAACAGCAACGCGGGTGTTCCCAGAAACCCAGAAGCCGGAGGTCCTCCCACCTGTCAGATGTCTCAGGTAGTGAAGTTGCGTTGCCCTCTTGCAGACGCCTCCCTCGCGACATCACCCTTGGACTCTTGCCGCTCGCTCTCTTTGTTTGCCTGTCTTGAACTGATGTCGAGCTGCAGACGGCGGTGGGTCTTTTGGTCCCCGAGCCTTGTGCCTCCAGGCTTGTCAACGAGCCTCGCGCGTCGTCTAAATCCGGCCTCTACACTACCCATCTCCATCAAAGGAAAACAGATGCATCATCGGTCCATCGTGGCCGGACCTTGCCGCCAACACAAGCCACCAGAGTCTGCCCCCAATTCCAGCCTCTGGCTGCTCTCGACGACCCCGAGTTGCATTGGGTAACGAGCTCGCAAAGTAAGGTTTGATACGATATCGTCAACGACGCCGCTGGCTCTCGATCCGTCCATCCATCTGCCCGTGAGCCCGTCCCCCCACTGAGTAATTGTCATCTAACCCCTGTCAATCGAATTGGTCCAGTAGACGAGGTGGCGGGCATTGCTCGGCCGTACATCAGTTCTCGAGTGTTAAGCTTAGAGAGGGAGAGAGATTGAAAGACAAGCTGTAGCTCTAGGTGGGTGCTACACCCACGATATCACAAACAGGCGATTGATGGTGCCGCCCTTGGAGTTACAGCAGGCACTGTAGAGTAGCTCTGGGCAGCCAGCAACGCCCTTGGGTTGCAGGGCAGCTCGTCACTTTCACCGTCACCAGCGCTGTCAGCGTCAGCGCCGTGGGCCTGTGCAGGGACGGCGAGCGGGGGGTTGTGGCCGGGACCAGGGTCTGAGGCAGGGCGATCATCGTCAACGGGTGGCTGCTGGCCTGAGCCATCTGGTTGGGATCGTCGGAGTGAACGACGGATGCGTAGTCAGCAAGGAGGAGATGCCGGCTGATCGGTGGAGGTGCTTCCGCTTCCACGTCGGTCCTTCTGGCATTGCGCCCGCGTGCATGGGCATGGGCAACGGCAGGAGCTGCGCAAGGCAAGTCCGCTGCTGTGTAGGGCTCTCCGAATTCGTTCGGCTGCCTCGTCTTTCCCATGGCGCTCTTGATTGAGTTTTGCGACGATGGCATCCATCCGTGGGAGTTGGCTGGAATGATTGACGGATAATATTGATGGGCAGAATTGCCGGGCCCCTGCTGTAGCTTCCACCGTCAGCCGACATCTGGCGGACCCTCTCTTGCCCTCTTTTTTTCTGCAGGCCTCAGGCCAACAGCGACCATTTCGACCTGACTCGCCTGCTCACCTGTTGTTACACCAACAAGCCTATCAGCGAGGCACGCTTTGGATCAGCCAGGAGGACACGATGCTACGCCCGACGGACGAAACAGGATGGACTCGAGATTGCCAAGGTGCAGCCAGCAGACAATCAATCCTCGGACCCAGCGCATTGCGTACTGCCCCGTCCTGTTCTGTACGCCGGAGCATTCATTGATGCACGCACAGCTGGGACGGACCCTGGCCCCGCGCAGAGCAGTGCTGCGCAGCGCTGCACCATTGTCGCATCTCTGTCTCTGCTACGTCACTGCCTGTTCGCCCAGGTTTGCGGAGAGGGCCGTCTTGGGCCTGGCCTGGCCTCGTCTGGGATGGTGACAGGGCCGGGCCCGTTGAGAAATGACGATGGACGGTAGAAACGAAACGAAACAAAAACGCTCTCGTTTAAGGGCAAAGATTGACCAGGGAGCCTGTCTCGCTCGGACATCAGCCCACGCTTTCTTGGTAACAACGCATAACGCACAGGCACAGAATAATCAACAAGTCATATTTTTACAGCCGGCTGCCCATCTTCTCGGTGACCTTTCACCGGCCTGGGAGCAGTCAAGGGTTAATGACATCTGACTCGCTTGCCCTCGCTAGGTGACATTGGCATTGGCACGGTAGGCGGTGACCGGCGCAACCTCCGCCAAACGTGGACTTGGTCCCTGGATGGATAACGCTTTGAGCGGCAGCCTCCAGCTCGCTGCCCTGTATCAGTGTGTGCTTGACGAGATAGGCCATTGGTACCTGGAGCATGTGGTCTGTCAGCTGGCTAGCAGGAATAGCCGGTGGTGTCGATGCTCCCAGTCAGTATGCGCCCAGCACCCAGCACCTCGGCCAGCGACAGCGAACGACCCCCAGGGAACACCGACTAGGACCAAAGCAGCAGAGAGGCCCGGGCGACCAGATGACGCTGCTGCCAATAGTCTGCATCTCCGCCCCGACGGTAATGGAGCCCCTAGTCCTTCTTAGTCGCCCTCGGCCACTAAAAGCAAAAACCGTTGTGGCGTCAGGCCTCCCTCGCTGTTCTAAACCCTTCCGGGCCACGCCAAGCGAGCCGAGCAACGGTTTTTCAGCTCAGCTCAGCTGGCTTCTGCTTCTGGTTGTGCTCACCTTGACCAATCATGTCGCCTTCTTCCCTGTTTGTTCCGCGCTTCCTTGCTCCATGCCCTTCTTTCAGCTGCGGCCTGGCCGCCTCTGGCATCTGTCCAAGACATGACGGGTTGCTTTTCGGAACCATGAGCGCCTGTGCCGACCTTCTCGTACATTAGTGCAACGCGTCTGCCGAATACATCATCAGCAGAGGCCACTCACACTCACTCCTTGACGTGTCGGATAGACGCCCCTCCCCCCCCTGGAGATGGATGAGTGAATGTCAGGTTTTGACAGCTGGACCCAGCTGATCGTCTGTACTTGTCAAACCAACCATGACCAGACTGACGGGCCGGCTGACGACCCTTTGACTGTTCGCTTATGACCTACTGACTGCAGGCGCCGTTTGATGCATGGCTGAGGGAGGGAGGCCTTGGCGTCCAAGGTATTCGAAGCCCGCCAACCAAGTCGCTTTACCGGTGCCATGAAATCATAACTGATTGATGCCTTTCTCCCCCCATACATACCTGCTCTGCGCCGTCCGCTCAGTATCCATGCCTGTTTGTATGCGTAAGGAACAACGGGATGGAAGTGGCCGATTGACGCTTTGGGAACAAGAAATAGATAGGTTGAAAAGGCGAGTGTGCTGTTATCCACCAAGACCTCTGTCTCTCAATTGTCCAGATTCGACCATGATAATCCTGTATAGCACCGGATTAGATGGCAGTGAAGCCAAGCAAGCGCATGGCTCATCCATTGACATGTCAACACATCTCTCATGCTTCCCGTCCACCTCTAGAAGAAAAGAAAAAGAAACCACTCCTGATCCGATCAGGAACTTGCCCCTCTCTCAAGATCACCAATAAATCTTAAAAATAGTGAATAGACACACGCCAGACTCCAGTCCAAACCAGCCTTCTCCACCGATGGTGGCTTACCGATCCATCTCGTCTACACGTTGGACGTCCTGTCTCGTCATTCAATCATTGAATCCCAAACCGGTTCTGTTTCTCGCTTTGGCGGGTTGACATGATCCACTCTGTTTGCTCCTCGCTCACAGATGAATGTCACCGCCTTCGCCAGCGACCCATCGTTGCCATGCCTGCTCATACGCGGTCTCAACATCATCAACCCATCGCCGCGTATCGAAGAGCCCGCAGTGCCACTTGCTATCCCAGAGCAACTTGCGCATATCAGCTAAACGTCCATGGCCATGGCCATATCCGCTCCTCGACATGGTGTAGCTGAGACCGCCAGCAAGCTGTACCGCCCGCTGTTCATACTCCTCTTCGCTGCTAGCAATCAACTCTGCTGCAGCCTTTCGCCCATCCTCTGATTTAGGTAGAGCCCCTTTCAGAATAGATGCCGCCATCCGAGAGCACATCTTGTACGGATACCTTGGGAGTGTGAGGAGAGGTGTGCTTGACCAGAGAACGTCTGCGGCTGTCGTATGGGCATTGCATTCTGGCGTGTCAAGGAATAGGTCGCAAACACGCGCTCGTGATATGTGTTGGCTCTTGGGTGCAACATCAGTGAAAATTAGTCGACTGGCGACCTCTGTGCCAGCCCAAGCCTTGGCCGTACGTCGTAGGTTTGCCTCCCCAAGTTCGGGAAATCGGAGTAGCCATAGGACCGCCTTTGGCACTTGTGCCAAGATTCGTAGCCATGACCTGAAGGTTGTGGGTTCAATCTGATGAGGGTTAGTCGACGGGAACCTCCTAATGCCAACTCTCCACGTACCTTGTATAGCTGATTGAAATTCCCCATGATAATGGCATCATCAGCTAGGGTGGGAAAAAGCTCTCTCCGCATCTTCCAACGACGTCTCTGTTCTTGTTCCCATGTGACTTCGCGTTCGCCCGCATCACAGGACTGAGCATGGTCACAGCAGAAAAACGTGTCACGACAGAAGATGATGTTCTCCGAGTACATCCAGCCTTCCCTGTCACCCTCTGTCTCATCGTGGAACACGTCCTCAACTCCAACGTTGTTGCGCCAGGGGCGTAGCGTCTCGGGTGGGATGGCGGTGCTGTCTGCTAGAATGTAGTCGCACCATTCCGCTCCTAGTGTACCGGCGAAGCCCATGAAGGACATCTGCACAGGGGCAGGTCGAGCAGCGAATATCTCGTTGCGCGCCCCCCTGGTATAGCCGTTGAGGTTGACAAGAATGTGAATCTCATCTCGGATGATTTGTTCTACCAGCTTGTCCGCTGGCCAGCTGCTGACATCGCGGAAAACAGGGGCCTCACGCTCAATCTGCTGCCGATGGACAGACCGATCACTCGCTGTTGTGGCATAACAGAACGCACGCGCGCGTCGAGGATTGTGGAACCCGAATACAGATTGCATTCTGTTAGTTTGATTCTGTTAGCAGCTTGTACCGTTTTGGCTTCCTCAGGATGAGTTACTTACAGGTGAGCCAAAGGATGATTGTTGAAGTCAGACGACACATAACCCACATTCAAGTAAGGGCTGGGTGGAGGAGGAGGGGGATAAACTGTCGATGGTAGCCATGGCAACCGCAGCGTCGAGCAGGATATTCGAATTCCATTTCGCTGGGATATAGCTCGAATGTCCTTCGCTGAGAGAGGGCAAGTAAAAGTGTGGAATGGTAGAACGGTCGGTGCCGACGGTACTGTGAGGCTGTTAGGCAGACGTAACCGTGTGTATCGGGAAGCTGTTTCGGCGCCAGATATATAGCGGTCTCGGTACCATTTCCATTGCGTTGCTCGAGTCGCGCGCTCCACAAGGCGAACGATGTGCGAACCCTCCCATGGTTTCTTGCTCCATTCTCTCAATGCTTCTTCGAGTGGGAATGACCCTGTCAGGCCAAGATCCCGTAATTGTTTTGCAATGGTGGTGATGATATTATCGCCGAGAACACCGCGCCCCCAATATGATGCCTCGCTGAGTTGGCGACCGATGATGCGGACGACGCGGTCCGTAAGGCCACTCTCATGTCCCGCAGAACGTGCATCAATGAGGAGACCTTTGTCGTCGACATGCCATCGATCATATTTTCCAGACTGAAGCATAACTCCGCCCCGGCCTCTCCAATCGCAAACAGAGTTCAAGGCAGTGGACAGACCACAGACAGCTTCAGCAAAGTCTGGGTTGGAGCTCACAGCGCGCTTGTAGTATGCGATTGCATCATTAATACGTCCCCTGTCCTTGACGGCGTTGGCCAAATTTGTCAGAGCGATATCAAAGGTCCCATCGCATGAGACTGCCTGCTCGTACATTTGAATGGCCAGATCCAGTTGACCAATATCTTTCAACAAGCTTCCGAGGTTGGTGTGAAGATGAACGTGCTTTGGGTCCAGACGCAGGCCGTAGTGGTAATACGCCAGAGCTAGAGACAGACCACTGCCTGGGACGATGCCGGGAATGTTTGGCTGGGGGAACATTTCGATGCTTGCGTCGGGAGGATGAGATGTGACCTGCTGCACACCTGCTAGGAGAATACCGACATTGTTCGCAGTAGAGGGGCTTTCTTGAAGCGACAGCGAAAGATAGTAGAGGGCCAAAATGTCCTCGACGCCAGAAGGACGCCGCAGGATGTCCGGGGCAGCGTGTCCGCTGGAAAGGGCATCTTGGAAGATCTTGGCTAGGGACAGGAGCGAGTTGCTGGTGGTTTGCACAGCTGCTCTCTTTGTTGAGCCCTCAGCAACATATCGCAGTCCTGGCAGTTCGCCAGTACCACCGAATACAAGATGAGCGGTATGCCGAGCTCGTTCCGGGGGCAATAGCAGAGGCCGTGAAGCGTGGCGAGGTTGTCCATTTGGAAGCAAACGGATATCTGCCGGTGACAAAACTGTCTGGATTTGACGGACAAGGTCTTGAATGCCGCTCATCCGGCGACCGAGGCTGATCAAAACTGCCTCCTCAAAGGCAGCTGATGCCCTGTTGACTTCTTTGAGACTGTACAGCATGGTTCCTTTGGCATGGATCAGAGCCAGGATCCGGCCATTTTCCTTGCCTGGTATGGCGTAACCGCTTGATCCAAACCCGTGGGTCTTCATCACTTCACTGTGAGGCCCAACTTTCTGATGTTGCGCCTGCTCCAAGTCAGTAATCTGGAAATCTCGAGTCGTGGCAGTTCGAGGATAGCCGTCACGAGTAGCTGCTAGCCCACTGCCGTTGGCGTGCGGTAAATGTGAAGATGACGGTACTCTTAAAGCATGCTGGACATAGTCGATAATGTCCACAGCTTCCTTGCTGCGCTTCTTGTAAAGAAGCCCGACTAAGTGCTCGACGGCTTCCAGATAACTGGGTTGCACCTTGACAGCTCGGATCCAATGCTGTTCAGCCTCATCTTGTCGATTGAGGCAGTATAGAGTAGCGGCTTTGTTTGTAATTGCCTCGACGTGACTGCGAATGCGTCAGACACCAGGAACAGCCACTTGACAGTTCACCCGGGGAAGTGTTTTACCTCGAGTCAAGGGTCGTAATCCTCGAGAACCATTCTAATGCCTCCTCGTATTGCTCGAGCCCATAGTGCAGGCATCCTCCGAGCATGATCCCATCAATCCAGTTCCAACTACTTTGTTCACAAAGACTGCTCAGCATATCCAACGAAGATTTTGCTCCTGCGAAGGGCGTCGTTTTGCCCATGGACGGATAGTTGCCGAATGTCCCCTGAAGCTGTGGCGCCGAGTTCCTCCCAGGGTGGTAATCCTGTCTGCGATCACCTTCCGGCGCAAGCCTCATCCCCGTGATTTCCTTTCCATCCGGGATATCAGAGAATTTCAAGGAGGGCTTTGGGGGCTTCGGGTATACAAGAAGTTTCGGTGATGTGTTGTGACCCGAGGTTCCCTTGGTGGGATGAGGTCTCCGGATAGTTTGGAGGTAAGACAAGAGATCAACATAAGCCTTGTGAGCCTGTGAAAGCACCTTCTCGCGGAAACCTTGCGGGCTGTTGAAGCTTGCAGGCCGAGGATAGGCCTGCATCGCTAGGCTTGGGTTGAAAGCGGGATTGTACTGGGGGTCAAGGCCGGCGGTTGGAGTGAAAGAAGGTGGATGAGCCAAAGACATGGGGTGCTGTGGAACAGCTCCAAAGTCATGCTGCTGGACATGCCTTGGCGGAAGGACGCCAGCTCGCGCGTGGTTTTGATAACTCCATGGAGTGTGTATGGGCACTTGGCCAAATGGTAATGAATCGTTCATCACCACTGGGGGCGGACAAAAAGCCCGGACGTTGTATTCATGAGCCCTCATTAAGGGTTGATATGCGTTGGGAAACATCCCAAGCGCGTCAGCCTGGCCATGTGGTATATAGTGTCCCTCGGCCGAGGGGAATACTTGGTGACCTCCAAGAAAGGGCCCATCATGCACTGATGTATCGTTTGGAAAGGGCCAGGGCGAAGAGCCCAAGCGAGTTTGTCGGATATCATCGCCGAGCCCCATATGTCCACCGGAGGAGGGATGATGGTGGTCAATGCTGGCGGCATAATGGGGCTGATGTATGAGAGGCCCTGTCGGCGGGAATGCCGTGGCAGTCGCAGATCGGGGTAGGACCAAATGTTTCGAGGGAGGTGGGCCATGCGAGAACAAGGAGGGCGACCCGTCATAGCCGGCATCGATGGTACCGTTTGGAGTCTTTCGGCGAAGGTGGTGCTCTGGCCGTAACGGGTAGAGGGGAGCGGCAGATGCCGTTGCACGCCGCTGCGATTGGGATGTGCGAATCGGGAATGTTCGCTGGTATGGGGAGGTAACGTTTCGAGGGTAGTGGTCGCTGAGCGAGGCGGCATTGTTGTTCGAAAACGCGGCGAAGGCATCGAGATTCGACGGCGGCGGCGTCACCGCATGAGGGGGCATTTGAAGAAGAGGCAACATGACAACGGGGTATATTGGCGAACAAGCAAAACGGGCTGGAAAAGCAGTACGAAAGACACTGGTAGACGGCGCTGATTCATGGCCTGCAGGTCAAAGAGCATGGCTAGCTGAACCGCTGGGTATCGAAGCGTTGAGCCGGTTGCTGATGGGCATCTGGGCGGGCTTGAAGGGCGAGGACGACGCCAGCGCCGGACCACCAGCTCCAGATGATGTCGCGAAGACTGTCGTGCTTTGAGCCGAGCAGCGCGCCCCCAGGGCCTCCGCCTGCAGCGGAACAGGGACGGCGTCAGGTGTTTGGGCCAGCGACTATGACAGGCAGTACCGCGATCGCGAGCGGAGGGAAATCAGGTCGCACAGTTGAATCGGGCGCTCGCTTCCATGGCCTCAATGATGGGTATCGATTCGTGGGGGTTGGGTGACAGGGTCGTATGCGTGTTCCGGTGTGCCGCGTGGTCGGTCAGAGGCGAGTTGGGCGATCAAGGAAAAGAGAAGGAGGCACGAAGTCAGTAGATACAAGGTAATCGTTGGTTGGGGTATATAGGTAGGTATTGAGACAGTCGTTAGGTGGCCGGCGGAGGTTGAAGGTAGGAGGAACCTTTGGAACGGCCCAGACGCTCCACAATGGGGCGGGAGGGCGGCTGGGCTAAAGTGCCTACCAGAGGTACTTAGCTTGAGGAGCACATACCCGGCCTTAATGCCACACAAGAGTGCACCGCCCACGGCCCTCCCCCAATGGGGTGCTGAGCTGGAGTGGGCTAGGGTGATGCCAACAAGGAACGGCCAGGTCTCTGCTTACCCCGTGCCAGCCAGAAATCCCAGCTTGTGGCCACCAACTGACGACGCCAGATTACATGATATGCGGGCAAAGGGTTCGGCCGCTGATGGCAGTTTTCCTGGATTGGCTTCACTGAGGGTCTTCTTTCTTTGAACAGTATGTGCGTATCGATCCTTGGCACCTTAAAGATGATGCAGGTCGGCAAAGCACCTCTTTGATTGGCAACCCGCACTATCCGTCGTTCAGAGGTACAGCATGCTCAAGTCATTGGACATGAGCAACTGGGACGTTGGGGCGATCACGAAATGCATAGGTACAATCCCGCCAGCACCATGTACACGTGAGAGAGGCATGCTCTGATCGATGGCAGGTTTGTCGGCAACGCACGGCTGAAACACTGTCAAGGCATAAAACGGAACGTGCACGGCGTTCGATATCTGTAGCGTGTTTCGTGAACTATGGTGAATTGATCCTATCTTGGGTCTTGCTTATTGAGAAGCAGGAGAAACCTGACAACAGGTCGGCGCAAGGGCAGTCTCCGGCACGGAGTGGCAGACCTGCACCATGATGGTGCAAAACATTCGCTTGGCTCAGGGGACAACTATCCAAAGCAGTTTACATGGGATACGGGAGTGTGGCCTTGATGATGGACCGCTGCATCCATGGATCTGGATGTCGCGGTGAGTAAGGGGCTGTCGATTACATCGCTTGTTCTTCCTTGCACAAAAATAGAAATAAACCATAGTGCATATTGGTAGATTTCAGAGTGAGTCAAGGATCTGGTTCGTATCGGTCGCATGGTCACTTCACGGGAGCGTGGCTGGGTATCGTGATTGTCTTCAATTCTTTTTTGGGGGGAGGCATTCGATTCTTTTTTTTGGTCAAATGACCAACATTTACTCCTCAGGGACTGTGTATTTGTTAGCGTGTGCACTAGCATGATGCCTTGTTGACTTACTCTCAATGTCACCACTGTCGATACCCTCAATGATAGTCTGAGGAGGCTTGCCGTCAACCTGGCAGCCAACAGAGTAGGCAGTACCCAGGATCTCCTTGACAGTGCCCTTGAGCTCCTTGGCGAAGGATTTGTAGCGCATCGTACGGGCAATCTCGACGATCTCGTCGAGGCTGACGGACTTGTTGTGCTTGATGTTCTTCTCCTTCTTGCGATCACGGGGAGGCTCCTTCAGAGCCTTGATGATGAGGGAAGAAGCAGTGGGAACGACGGACACCGCAGCCTGACGGTTCTGGATGGTGAGCTTGACAGTCACGCGCAAGCCTTTCTGGGGTGAAATGTTAGTCCAGGTCTTTTTTGGCAGGCAATCGAGGAACGTACCCAGTCACCGGTGGCCTTGGCAATGTCTTCTCCGACCTTCTTGGGAGAGAGACCCAGAGGACCAATCTTGGGAGCAAGAGCAGAGGAGGCACCGACCTCACCGCCAGTGGCGCGGAGGTGGCTGAGGTACGTTAGTAAAAATAAATCTTCGAGATATTTGGACAATGGTGCCAAACGTACATGACCTTGACCTCGTTGGGATCGAACTTGGGAGCTTTTCTCAGTGTTAGCAGGCCTGGACATCTTGACCAGAAAGGAGGGAGAACCAACGCATTGCGGCGTCGTTAAGGTCGGCAGAGGCTCGTGGTTTGCGTGCCGGGAAGGAGAGTGAAAGAAGGTTGGGAAGTGGTTGAAGAAGTTGTTGAACTGAAAAATGGGAAGAGGAAAAAAAAAAAAAGGAAGCGAAGCTGTGTGCCCCACAAGCGTGCCCTAACTGAACAGGAGCCGACGAGGTGGCTTAGTCATCGAAGGACCTCACCCCACCCAACCTCTCGGGATAATTACCACCCCTACCACCCATCAAGGGATTTATCATGACTGAATTTGTTGGGTTGAGGGGATCTAGAGACCGTCGGGATAGGTATTAAAAGGCATTCACATTCTCCCCGCTTTTGCGACTTCTTGCATTGACTTGCTGCTTTTGGTTCTGAGACTTGTACTCCGTTCATACTAATCTAAAGCCCGCGTCTCACGGGTGGATACACTCTTTCTCAACTATCGCGTCCACCACTATCACCGCGCCAGTCTATAGGGCGGATCATCTTTGTTCTCAGCGCCAGTGATGGTATTTATTAAGTTCTCCCGATGGTACAATGTGAGCCGTCATGCTCATGCACGGATGTATAATTCTCATATTTGAGTATTTGGACCATCTTAGTTGGTTCCGCTAACAGCAAGCCTAAATGTATTGTCAGCAAAAAGTGAATAATTGAGACGGTAGCCAGTTGAACGACGTACTTCATTAGGTGGTCCATAAAGGTCTGCAAAGATACGTCATCTGTGAAGATGGTTTGTGCAGTTGTAGCCCCGACACCGCCGTAGGGACCGGTTGTGTGGGTAGTGGATGGGTTGAGCTTGGATAGGAGGAAACGAGCCTGAGATCCCCCAGCATCGCAGACGATGAATCGAGGGAGGGGAAATCGGTCTGTGATGAGATCCTTCAAGGAGTAAGCAGCATGTTCACTGTTCATGTGAGGGTTTGGCTTACACGAGCGTCTTCCTTGGGCTGTTCGAGGAGACCAGCAAAGTTCTCGTAGCCTTCCTGCTCCTGGTATCCGGCTTTCCTCCACTCTGCAATTGTCTCTCCATGGAAGATCAGAATGTGGAAGAAGGTGTCAAGAAGAAGGATGTGGGTTGGCTGAATAGAGGCTGAGTCCAGCAGCACAGGTTGGCCACCATCCTGATCAAATGTGTACGAGTCCAGAGTAGGCTGAATCATGACGAGAGAGTTGCTAACATCCTCATGGTTCAGTACATGACGGTAGAAGGCTGTTTCGTCTGGCGAGTTGTTGAACACCTGGAGGAACTGGCTTCGACGGAGGTGGAACATGAACTGTGGGTACAGAGTGAAGTTCTTCTCCAGTCGGAAGGAGGATGGGTCATCTTTGCGGTAGTCGGCGAACCTCGAGCAGAGCCGAATCAACATTCTGTCAACCCAGCGCAGTACGTCTGGGCCATCATCAACTTCAGCTTTGAAGACAGCGATCCGCGACATGAGGACTGCGGCAGCTTCTTGGTCGAATGACTGAGCAATGGCGGGATCGCCGGCGGGACTGCTCAGGGGCCTTGAAATCGTCGTGACACGAAGGTGGAACTGGCCAGAGGAGTGTTGGTAGTACGTTAGGAATTGCATCATGCCGTTCTGTGGTGCTTGTTGGTGTGTTGTAGGACCTTGGCCAGCGATTTCAAAGTAGATTCCGTAACTCGACTTTGGGTCAATGCCACACATCTTCCAGGAGCAGGTGTTGCCGATTCCGCATTCTGTTTCGCCGACGGATATGGACTTCTTGTTGAGCGAAACAGCATGTCCGATCAGGCCAGTGACCTTCAGTTCCTTGGTGGTCAGAACTTCCAGCACAGCGTTGAATCCCATCAACAGGTTGTCATCGCCATCCTTTTCAAAGATCCTCACGAAGGATTGCTTGAACATGGAAGAAGTGAAGCTGTCAGTAAGAATCATATGGCCACCTGTTGAGTTGCACAGCCCCTTCATTTCCAGCAGGCCGACCTGATCAAGGCAACCCGCAAAAATGTCAATGATATGCCCGTTGTGAGCCGTTCGTTTGGCCAAGTTGTCATAGAACTATCGCATTGTGGTGAGTTATGGACTAAAAAAGGCAACTGGGTCCTTTGGCCTTACCTTCAAGGCTTTCTTGTAGTACTTGACGTTGTCTCGGTCAATATCGTGGTGCGATCGGATGGGCTCTCTTAGTTCGGGTCCGACAACCATACCAGGACCTTCAGTCGCAGGTCCGCCGGCAAAAAGCATGATGCGACCACCAGCATTTTGGAATGACGACTCCATGAGGCCCACAGCGACACTGAGGGCAACACCGGTGCATCGAAGGCTGCGTCGATCGTTGGCAACAGGCCAGGGGTCTTTCTGGAGAGACTCCAGCGCCTTGGTAAGTTGAAATTCCGCCTGTTGGACAGGCAAGAGGAATCGAGATGCCGGCCCAGCAGGGAATGGCCGGCCAGGTTGGGGCTGCATGCCGGGCCGGAGACCAGACGTTGAGAGTCCAAGCATCTCTTGCACCTGCTTTGCGGTGTATTCCTTGCTGCCTCGAAACACGTAAGACTTGGCGCATTCTTCATAGCCAATTTCGTGCACATGAGCCTACACCACTGTTAAAGTTCTGGCTCAAAGATGGGAAAGAGCATTACGTACCATGGTGCCGTACGTGATAAGGCCGACTAGCGAGTTCTCAGGCAACAAGCTCAAGCTCATGACTAGAGACTCTTTCAGGGAGGCGAGGCTGTCTGCCTCCTGGCACATGTCCACCACATAAAGGAAGATTGGAGGCGCTGGGGCAGGCCGCGAGAGGCGGTATTCGATGGTGGTGTTCGCGGGGTGTAGTTCGGGAGGGATAGCGTTGGCGGTGATGTCTTTGTAGTGGGGAGGAAGTTGGTTTCGCGATAGACAAAAAGGACAGATCCAAACTCTGGCGCGAACATCGACTTGGCTGTGAGAGGCTGTCAGCGAGAGGAAGGAAGAGAGTATGGTACTTCACAAGACTCACCAGAAGGGGTTCAACACCGAGCGACAAGGCTGTTTGCAGGTGACAGGCTCAAAGTGGAGGAGAGGAGTATCGGGCTTCTCCTTCAAGGGGGTGTAGAGTGCGCCGATCGGAACAACTAGCCTTGAGGCTTCCTGCGAAGAGAGTTAGTTGATAAAAGATGAGGAACTCATTGAACGCTACCATTCGAGAGCTGGGAAAGGTGTTCCAACTCAAACGGACACCATCGCGATCTTCCACCTCGCCCCATTGCTCCTTTGCCGTCTCGTAGTCCATCGCGACGGCTGTACACGATGAGGAGACAAAAGATTTGTAGAAAAGACGGGTATACGATGGCTTGTGTTGCGGACCGGAAGAGATTCGTGAGGGGAGAACAAGGGAAAGTTAGAGTATGATAGCTCTTGGAGCTGTCTGAGCTGCCAATCCAGCTGGGCGATCTTCGGCGCAGTTGATAGTGGGTAGGTGTTTGTTGACAAGGTGGCCGCCCCGTTATAGAGATATGGAAGCATGCGCATTACATACGTATCTTTTCCAACGCCACAACCGACGCTTAAGCCCCACTCCCTACGCAGATAAAGGCGATTAATAAAGATTTTATCCTCGCTCTAAGAACCTTATAAAATAGGGAAAAGAAAAAGATATTTAATTTTTATTAAAATTATTATTAAAATTATTATTAAAATTATTATTATTTATATATTTAATTAGTTATTATTAAAACTATTATTAAGACTATTATTATTATTTATTTATATAATATATTTAATAAGTAAGTATCTTAAATAAATAAGTATTTTAAAAATCCTAATTCTTAAAATAAAAATTATAATAAAAATACTATAAATTATTTATATTATATTATATTATTATTCTATTATTCTTATCTATTTAATCTAAACCTATAGTACTTTTATTACTTACTTTATATAAAAAAAACCCTTTAGGGAAGAAAACCTATATATAGCATATTAGCTTTCTATCTATATATTAGGCATAGTATTATAATTATATAATTAATATTATATACTAAATTTATATTACCTAAAGCGGGGATTAAATATTATTATTAAAGTCTTAATAATTATAATAATAAAAGCTTTATACCTAAAGCTAAGGGGCTTAATATACTTAAATTAATAAGGTTTTATACCTTATTATTAATAGCTTTAATAATATATTAAAAATAACCTTATTTATAATAAATAAGTTACCTTTTAATTAACTAAAAAACTTTTAATCCCTTTATATAATAACTCTCTTTTCTAATATTAACCTTTTAATTACCCTTATAACTCTTAATTAATTAAAGATTAAAATCTTTTAAGATTATATTTCTATTAATATTATTAATAAAGGTTTAATAATTATAATTATTATTTATAATAAAAATAAACTATTTAATTATATTATAATATTTTTCTATTAAGACTTTTAACCTATAGATTAAAGTAATATAGTAAATATATATAGGGATAAACTTATCTATAATAAGTTTCTTTTTACTTAGATAATTACTAGCTTAAATAATTAGCTTTATATAAGGCTTAAAAAAAAGGCTTTTAATAAAGCTTTCTAAGGTATTATATAGAAAAAATAATTATAAAATAATAACTAAAAGATTATATTAATAATCTTTAGCTATAAGATTTTTTTTCTATTTAGCCTCTTTTTAGATAATAATAATTATAATAATTAATTTAATTAAGTTAAAATAAAGCTCTTTAGGCTAAAGAGCCTTTAATATAAGGTTAAATAAAGTAAAATATTTAATTAGCCTAAAGAGTTATTCTTTTAAGCTTTTAATAATATAGCGCTAAGCTAACTATATAATAGATAGCTTATAATATTAATTTTCGCCTAGAATATTATTTATACCTTATAATATATATAATAAAGTATATTAAGGAGATATTATTATAGCTATAAATTAGCTATAGAGCTAGAAGAGAAATATTAGGTTATAGAGGTAATTAGTATTATAGATCTTAGAGGTTAATATTAGAATTTAAATTTAAAAATTTAGTGCTAATTAATAGCA